CTTTCTTTGAGTTGATTCCATAATTATTTTTGGTGTTTTTGAGATTGAGTTCAATGGGTCTTATTTTTCAAGGAGATTTTTAGATCCAATTCTCAAGGGTTTCTTAACAATTAGTATGTTTCACATTATATACATCCATTTTGATAAAAGTTGATATGATTCATCCCAATCACAAAAATAACTCAAGCCAATACTTTTGTTTTTCCTTCCCAAACCCTCATGTAAGAAATATGATATCCAAATTTTTCCTTGATCAAATCTCGAAGTGTCAAAATATTTATAGAAGGCTGAGCTCTCACTGCATCACAAATTTTTCTACCTATCATATTTGAATCCAATTGAAAATAACTTTGATTGAATTTTGAGTAGACACAAGAATGTTGGTCTACGTATTTCGTTATCTCCCATAGGTTATAAAATTTATTTAGCATCGCACGGAGTCATCATTTGCATCCATCTTGCCACTTCTTACATCTAGTTACCCATTTAGATAGGGCCGACTCTACAACTTTGTAAGGGTGGTGATCAGCAAAACGTTTCACAGTATGTTTCATGGTTTCTTTATCGTTACACCTAAACCCTTTGTACAACAGATCAATTTCAGCCGTCACTGGTTAAATAATATAATCGTGTTCTGCAATACTATTAATGATATCAATGTCCATGTTATTGAATGTTTATGAAAGGATATTGTGTTCACCCTCAAGATCCAATTCATCAAACTCATCATCTGTTATTGTCCTGAGTTCTATAAACCTATTCTCAGTAGGTAAATCCATATCTTCAAATAAATTAGTTCTTTAAGGCACAACTAAAGCTCATGTTTAAGGCATTGACTGTCGTCAAGACATTTGGCTAGATGTTTGATCAACCAATGAGACATTCAATACATTCCTAAGATTCACATATAATTCCACTATTTGTGGAGTTGACAGTTTAGTTAAGAACATTAAATCCAATGCACGATGGTTCTCTAATGAAATGAGAATGAACCTAATTGATCCCAAATGTGTTTGATTATGGTGTCTAAGACACAATTTCTAATTTATTCTTACTGATCATATCTACCTTCAGTGATATTCCAACAATTTCAACAGAATGATCAAACTCAATACTATAAATAGTAAAACCTCCACATGGCGGTCGATCGTACTCAACTCCATTTATACCATCAATAATACATCCATTCATGTACAATACAATTGCTAAATATTTAGCTGTCATTTAGATCCTAAATTGAAAAAAAGAACTTCAATTAAGTTGTTAAAGAAACTACTAAAAAACATACCAACTAATTAAATAAAAGAAATATTAATTAACAATTAATTCAACTTCAACTTACAAAACTATTAAACTAATTTGATTTAAATTAATTGTAATAATATTTATATATTCAAAATTAATAAAATCTAAAGCTAATAACAATCTTACGTTAAATAAAATCAAATAACAATCAAATAAAAAATACATATTTTATATAATAAACATATAAGAAAAATATAGCATACAAACAAATAAAAATACAGAATTTAACCCAAAAAAAACACACACAAAACAATAGGATAAAATGTATCTTTTATTTGTTGAAGTGGTACACGGAAGTAGAAGCTGACAAATAGTAAAAATAAATTTTTTTTTATTTAGATTATTATTTAAAAAGAAGAAGAAAAGTAAAGAGGGTGAAACTTACAATGTTGACTGCTAAATGGCGGCGGTATCAATAGCGAAGGTGGTGAACGCACTAGAGATATGGAGCAAAGAGGCAGCAATAACGATTTTGGTTGGAGGGGAAGAGACAAAGTGAGGGAGGAAAGAGAGTGAGATAGGATCAAAAAAGAACTCACCTAGACATCTCTTCAAAAAAACGACCAAATCAGTGCACCTTGGTCGTCTCTAGAGACCGTGTTTCGCAATAAGAAAGAGACAACCATCTTTGGTTTTAAAAAAAATAGGCGTGGCACCCGTTGTCTCTAGAGACGACCCAACGACACCATAAATATAGACGCATTATTTTTTAAATAAGTTTCAAAATATGCCATTTTTTTTATTTAATAGGTTTTAGTCTAGCATTATTTAGAAGATAATTTATTTTTAAATCCTACTAAAAATGTCTCATTTTTAGCAATTTCCCATAAGTTGGAATATATATATATATATATATATATTTAATAATACAACATAATTTTCACAAAACCCCCCACAAAAAGTCTTATTTTGTTAATGAGCTTGAATTCTGCGGTATTTACCACTTAGCTAATAAACTGCTAAAACAGCTCCCCGCCACCGTCGCTCCGGGCCCCTCTCCAGTCTCCATTGCTCTTCCCCTCAGATCCTCACTCTTCGTACTCATACTTTCCCGCCGGCGCCGGTGGAGGTTCGATTTCCGGCAAAGGAGGTAGATCTCTGACCAAATATGATGTATAAAACGTTTTTTTCTTCTCTTAATTTCGGTTTCTGAATGAACCACGCCCAATCAATTCCAGATCATACTGTTCAATGCGAATGAATCCATCAGTTGATTGGTGTGCCGAGTTCAGCGTTTTTTCGCATGCCCAATTGCTATTTTTGCCTTGAATCTCGCATTCTGTGTTCTGTTTTCCCACTCAAGTTCGAATCAGAGATCTCCGTGTACACTTGATTTGTGTTCATTTCTTGTGTGACTGACAATTCGTGGGTTATTCTATTCTTATTTTCCTCCTTCTGGCTCTTGGTTTTAAAGATTTTTCTTGAGAATTGTTGACGGCATTCAGAATTGCGCGAAAATGCCGTCGATCTTGCACCAAAGACCCATTCACAACTCACTTGCAAGTCCATATCCACTTTCTCCTCGTTCTTCCTTGAGTTCTGAGAGGCCATTTTCCATATTTAGTCCTTTAAACCTGCTTGCCCTGCTTTCTCTCATTGTGCTTCTTGGAGTCTTTTTGCCCTGGATGAATATACAAGAGAGCATTTTCTCAACCTCAAAGCTCTCGAGCACGAAATGGCAAGAATACTCATTGGCTGAAGCTGCGTCATTCGTTGCTAGGAACGGGACTGTGATTGTTTGTGCTGTGAGCCAACCCTACTTGCCCTTTCTCAATAATTGGTTGATTAGTGTTACCAGACAGAAGCACCACGAGAAAGTTCTTGTTATCGCCGAGGACTATGCGACGCTCTATAAGGTGAACGAACGGTGGCCGGGCCACGCAGTGCTTGTTCCACCTGCTCCTGATGCTCAAACGGCGCACAAGTTTGGTTCTCAGGTGTGGCTAAATTGACTCTAGTATGCACTTTCATAAATTTTGTTTCAATTGTAGTTCTAGGTTTGTTTATTTTGTTTGAAATGATAAATCTGATTGCCTAGATAAACATCTTGTCAGTGTATGTTGCTTCTCTGTTCAATCTCTCAATCATATTTAACACTGCCTGGGCAAACTCGGTCTGTTAATGCAGCACAAGTCGTAAACATTTTGCTTATTTTACAATTGCATAATTTTCATATCTGGCCTTAAATTACAATTTTTAATGTAAGCTATTGAATATTTTTCATATCATGCCTTAAGTTACAATTGGCATTACTTGAAGTCACTTCTGTACTAATCTGATTGCTTCTATACCAATTAATATGATCTCTCTTTTTGCTCTCCCTTGTATAAAGCATTTTTATAGAAAAATCAGTGGTGTTTCTAGGCTATTGAGGATGTTTGCTCAAGCAAATTTCTTCCCATCAAACCCTTGTTTTTCTTTCTCCTAGTTTACTTCTTCCTTCTCATACTCAGGTATATGTGTTTATCTTTAGCCCAATTCACTGTTTACGTGAAATGAAAATGATTTTCTTCTCTTCTCAGGGGTTCTTCAACTTCACATCTCGAAGACCACGACACCTGCTACACATTTTGGAGCTTGGTTATAATGTTATGTACAATGATGTTGACATGGTATGGCTGGCTGATCCGTTTCCTTATCTGCAAGGGAATCATGATGTGTACTTCACAGATGACATGGCTGCAGTATGTACATCAACTGTTTTCTCCTCTATTTCTTTTTCCTTTTCCTCCAGTGCAATGTTGAAATGGGTTGCTTACAGTTTCCTGCATATAAACTCCAATTTATTACTTTTTAATCTTTGAATAAGAAAGAAAAGGTCCATAAGAGTTTGGGAATTTTTTGATGAAAAATGCTGGAGGACTTTCGCTTCTTGAATTTTCACCATTAATTAAATGTTTGTATATTTGACGAAAATATAAATTTGACTGGAAAATGTGGTACTTCTATATCTTTAGCTTAATATTTTATGAGAAACATGGTGAAGTTAAACTCACATCTTAAGATTGATGAAAAGTGGCTGCATCCTTGCTCAATTAACATAAGGTTATTGCTCACATCTTAACAGGTGAAATCTTTGCACCACTCTCATGATTTGCCACCTCCAGGGAAAAAGGGCCGGACTTACATATGCAGCTGCATGATTTTCCTACGCCCCACAAATGGAGCAAAACTGGTCATGAGGAAGTGGATCGAGGAACTTAAAGCTCAGCCATGGTCCAAAACAAAAAAATCTAATGATCAACCTGCTTTCAACTGGGCACTAGATAAAACGGCTGGAGAGGTTTGTTTTTTGTTTATTTAATAAATTTACACCATGCAAGAGCAAGAAAGGAAAAAGATTTTTCTGAAACTACCAAAAGATTTTTCTGTCTTTTTTTATTGGAAGAACCAAAACTTTTCATTAAAGTATTAAAAAGTTACAAAGTATGATACTCCCATTAGAGTTTAAAAGCAAAGATTTTTCTTTGTTATTGAAGATTACTACTGTTGCTTACAAGCCAAAGATGTCAAAGGAAAAATCTATTGAATTGGAGCCAAAAGACTTTCTTTTATTTTCTAAAGAAAATAGTAGAGAGGAGCTTGTTGATATCTAGTGGGGGTACCACCTGCCAATTGTATGCCATAAATTACCAGCAAAAGAACAGTTGAGAAGATGTGGTGTGTGGCCTTGGGACCCCAGATCTTTCTTGCACAAAAAAAAAAATGCTGACCCAGAGAGGGAGCATGTGGGATGCCGTTTCTGTATTTCATCGTGAGTGGTTATGCTTTCATAACTAAGCTCCCACGAGAAGACCTAACTTTCTTAGAGTTTTTGCTGTGCCACATTTCTTTGTATCAGGGAATTCTCTAAGATAACTTTTTCTTTTTTGGATAAGATTCTCTAAGATAACTTTGTTGACAATGTCCATGAAGAGTGCGTGAACTGCAAAAAGTTGGAGAGTAGGTTATATAAAAAAGCTCCATTCCTGGATTTCATCTTCCAAAATGAGTCTTCTAAAGCCAAGGTCCCATGTAATCGTTTTTAGTTTCTAGTTTTTTTAAATTAACCTTGTACTTTTTTTTATCTTTGGATAAGAAACGAGAGAGATTCATTGTCAACCAAAGGAATCCAAACGGTCTAAGGGAAGGGGGATGAGGATGCCCCTCCCAAGACAACTACTATAGGACTGCTTTCCAATCTCGAGCAATCATCGACAAACTATAGTTACAAAAGAATTTGTTTTGGTTAAGGCACCACAAAGAAGACATGATTTGTACCTTGTTACAAAAGACAGCCTGCTGAGTCAAAATGTTGTTAAAAGTTCTTTGATTTCTTCTTTCCAAATGCCCTACAAAAAATCTCTCACCGTGCAGCCTCCAAGCACCTTTGCTTTTCCTGTTAAGGACCCCCATTTAGAGCCTCCATCAACCATTCTCTTCAACCGATCTGGGCAAGCAGCAAGAGACGCCTATTTCAAATAACAAAAAATCCCACCCTCTGGAAGCATAAGGACAATGTAGGTAGAGATGATCTAAGCTCTTCCCATTCTTTAAGCAGAGGCAGAAAACCGAAGGGTAAATGACCGAATTGCCTAATTTTTTCTGCAACTTATCTTGTGTATTAAGGCTTCGATTTGCAAGGTTCCAAAGGACGATTTTTAACTTTCCTGGGAATATTGAAATTAAAAATATATATATATATATATATATATAATGATAATAACTTAAGCTTGTCAATTTCTTTGTCTAGATATCTCACTTTTTAAAAACACTTTTTAAGTCTTGGCAAAATTTCGAAAACAGGATAAGTTTTTGAATTGTTTCATGTCACTCTTCAAATTTTGGTTCCATCTCCAAACGGATTTTGGCCTGACACTCTATCTTGACATTCTCCAAGTGGGCCTTGGAAATATATCTCAAAGACGGAAAGCCTTATTTGGAACTGGTCGAATTACCAATTTTTTGAATGACCATTGGATAGGAGATTCTCCTCTTTCATTATCTTTTCCAAAGCTTTATGCTTTGGCTCCTCGGTTTCCAACATCTATCTTTGATTTGTGGAGCTCAAGTTCCTCATCACGCACCTTGATACCTTGGTCTCCATGAGTACCTTTTGGATGATGAAATCCAACGATGGGTCTTCTTCTTGAGGCTCTCCTCCTTTTTTTTTTCAAAGATTAACCGGACAAATTGATTAGGCTGAAGGAAACTTGGGGATTTTCTCATATCACTCTCCTTTTGTAGACATTTTTGATAAAAGTGGGGTGGATTCTCTCTTCATTTTCTATTTCATTTGACGTGGAAAGCTCCAAGTACCCCCAAATTGTTAAAATTTTCTTGTGAGAGCTTACTCTTGGCTGTATAAAACACCCATGATGTCTTACAGAAAATAAGCTCCTTTTCTCTCCATCTCCCCCGCCTGGTGCCTCCATGTGAATGGAATTTCAAAACTCAAGACCACATGTTCCAATCTTGCTCTTAAGCTGTTCTTATTTGGTCACAGTTTTTGCAGATTTTTGGCATCTCCCTCTCCCTCACAAATTGACAAGTTTGCTTCCCATTTTCACAAAGGTTTCCTATTAGAAATGGAAAGAAGATTTTGTGGCTTCAATTAGTGAGGCTTCTTTTGGTTAATTTGGTAAGAAAGAAAGAGTAAAATATTCAACAAGGAATCTTATAAATATTTTTGGGATAGTTTGTTGTTTATAGCCCCTTCTTGGTGTAAACTATTCAACAAGGAATCTTATAGCTATTTTTGGGATAATTTCTTGTTTGTAGCCACTTCTTGGTGTAGATTCTGCACACCTTTCAAATTTTGTAGTCTTGCTTCTCTTACTGCCACTTGGAAGACTTTTTGGTAGCTTCCTTTGTTTGGCGCTTGGCTTTCCTCCCATTTTTGTAATTTCATATTTTATATGAAATAGTTTCCTACTCAGAAGCTAAAAAAGGTTTTAGAAAACTTTTCTTCTAGTTCTTAAAATTTGGTTAGGATTTTGAAAATGGCTAAGATAATTGTTACTATATAAGCCTAATTTTTAACAATAGAAAGTCACAAACAAAATTGTCATCAAACCAGCCTTAAAATAGCCAATTCTTTTCCTTTTAGTAACCCAGAATCTGAATCGAGTTTTCCTATGAGCTACGATCCTCTGAGTTGTTTTAACCAATTGGTCTAGAAGTTTGTTCATACAAGGCTCTGTTACTAGGATTAAATCACTTGAATATTTCATAGATGCGGGAAGAATCCTTCAGTTTCTGGTCAAGATGAGACAATATATATTACACTTTCTTGTAAAGAGAGAATGTGCATTTTTTGTAACTACCTAAAAATGACCACAATGATGATATATAGGTGGATCTATACCTGCTGCCACAGCCAGCATTCCCAACAGGTGGACTATACTTCAAGAACCAGTCATGGGTAAAGGAAACCAAAGGGATGCATGTTATAATACATAACAATTACATCACAGGTTTTGAGAAGAAGATAAAACGTTTCCGAGAATTTGATCTGTGGTACGTGGATGATCATACTCTCGAGTCCCCCCTCGGTCGGATATGAGAAATTAGAAGGTGTTGTTGTTGTCCTTCCTGCAATACAAGGTACACTCTCTAAGAACCGTGCAGCCTGAGTAGTAACATTTGGTTAAATTTTCCTTCTTCATGGCATGATCTTGAGGTCTTGGGAATGCGTCTGCAATAACAGATGTACAATAATGTTTTTGTATTTTTTGTTTGTTTTTGTAGCGATTCAATTGGTAGAAACGATAATCATTCAACTGCAGTGGAAGGCTGCCCTATTAATATTATTTTTTATCAGCCTTTGGTGGAATTAAATTTCATTCACAATTTGGTATCATGACAAGAATGTAGTTAGCAGCATGTAGCAAGACTTTCATCTATCGTTGAACGTTTAGTTTCAGTTTTTAACGTTACTGTTATGAATAGTTCTACCTTAGTCTAATTTATCAAATTCTTTGAAATTTTTGTATCTTGTATTACTTAGAATTTTATGGAGGACTATCCACTACAGGATATTAGAACTTATAACATTCATACATGGTCAATTCTTTAATATGTTTCTCGAACTCTTACAAGTGTTCCAGAAGTGGGAAGCGACAAAGAAATTGAGGAACTTGAGGCAAATATTCTATTTAGGCCTTTGACAATCAAAATCAATCATAATGAGATTGTTATTTTGTTGATGTTGTCTACTAGAAGTTTTACTAAAATTATCGGATATATTACCATTACTATAATATTCCTTTCTTATTTTTTTCATGCTCTCTTTTTTCCTAAACATTTGGAGCACATCCAGTCTTGAGTTTTCTATTCTCACTGGATGTGAAACTTGAATATCATATTTATCTCTCTTTGTTACACATGATTTAGGTGGATGAAAATAGCAATTGGTGAAAGAAAACGTGCATGGTTGATTGAGGGAGATTTTCCATTTGGTCTTGGAAAGTGCAAGACATTCTCGAAATTTTGGTACCTACATTGAATTCTTCTAAATTTAGTAGTCAATGTTTTATATAACTCATGAACTAGATACGACGTCGCTTGAACAGGATCTTGTTCGATATACGATAATGTCCTTGAGTAGTAAAATATAACTCATGAGATGGATGAGCGCAACTTGAATCTCATTAGTTTGTGTCTACGTCGTGGTATGTGTTCTTCTTCCAATGTTGTTCCCTCCATTGATTTTAGGAATAATCTTGTGTGAATTTTTGTTGATGGTGTATGCTACAACCAAAAGTTTTTTTTTTCTTTTTTATAGTTTTTTGCACCTCATGTCAAGTTCTAACACTATTTTTGGTTGATTAACGACGATTTATCGTTCTCTTAAAAGTCTCCGGTGTTAAAATTAGGCATTATTAAAAATTTGGAGGAAGAATTAGAAACTATCGTCCCTCTTAAATATTAGGTATGTAAATTTATTATCAACCAATGTGGACCAAGATTATAATTGAAAAACTTTAAAATGTAAGGGCTATTTGGAAACTTCTCATCAATTGGGGTTAGGTTGGAAAATAAAAACCTCCAATGGACTAAAACAATTAATTTTTAGATCAATTTGTTTGATTTTTTTTTTTTCGAAATTAAATTGTGCAACAAATGAGTTCTCTTAGCATATTACCTTGGACTAGACCTAATAGACTGGCAAAAGTATTAGTTCAAAATTGATCTAAAAAGTTAATTAATTCAAATCTTTGATAAATTTTAATTCATTTGCAGCAGGTTACTATTCTAAGAATTTATAATTGTTAAGAACATCATTTTTTTTATAATTTTATTTTTTTAATATTTGTTTACAATTTTTTTTTAATTTTTTTTGCAAACTAACTATCGTCTTGTCACAATAGTTTAAGAAAATAGATATAGTATAATTTTCAAATTGGGTCAATTTATAAATAAATTACTTGTCTGTTGTTCTCACAATTATTTTAAAATAAGAGCAACCTTCAAATACTCTTAAAAAATCATTTAAAAAACATATTGAGTCAAGGACAAAACTTAGATTTTTAGTGTTTTTGACTTTTTTTTAAAGAAAAATTTTATGTTACTCATAAATACGAGCATTTTAAGAAATAAAATATCTTAAACTACGACCAAAGTATTATAATCCAGATCAAAAATACGATCATTTTAAAAAATAAAGTATTTTAAGTTACCACCAAAATATTTTAATCCATGTTAAAAACACTTCCAAACATGACGAACGAGAATCGACTAAAACCCTCCAAAATTGGAAGTCAAGTAGATAATGTCATTTTTTAGTTACAATACTAATATATCCCATTGGTTCCAGCTGCATTATTTAATCTTGTCCCTTTTTTTTAGAGCTCAAGTGGGTTTTACTTTTCAATTATCTGTGTATTTAATTAATGACGAAACTCAAGAGAGTTTCTTGCAACTAAATCAACCTAATATTGTTGGTTCAAATAACTCCATTAAACTTTTTTTCGTTGTCAAAAAACATTTTTGGTCTCTATATTTTCTTAAGTAATAATTTAGTTCATGAATTTTAATTCATAACGATTTTAGTTATTGTACTTTCAAATTTGTAACAATTTAGTTCTTGAATTTAGTATGTAACAATTTAGTCTCTATCGTGAAAAATTTTGATAAATTTCTTGTATACGTATATCGATAAACCAATGAGGGATCGTTTATAAATTACAAAGACTAAATTGTTGTATATAAAAGTCGACACTTAATTTTAATGAGAATTTTTATGGCGGGGACTAAATTATTACAAATTATAAAATATAAGTACTAAGCTGTTACATACTAAAATTCAAAAATTAAATTATTATCAATTTAAAAGTACATGACTAAATTGTTACAAATTTAAGGCTAAATCGTTAATACAGATACCACGTGTTTTTTTTAACCCTTTTTCTATCTGCTTCCACGTGAAAGAGGAGTGATTTAAAAAAGTTAGCTTTTTTTATATTTATGTTGAAAATGACGTCCTTATATTAATTTTATTTGTAGTTGAAGCAATATAAAAATAAAATGTTAAATCATTATGTGTTATGCACTAAAATTAAAGGCAATGTGTCCTATGAGAAATTGTTTAGAAAAAAAATATATTATTTTATTTAATGTATTTTGGGGATGAATATAAGTGGTGCTCTAATAGAAACGTCAACTATATAATTAAATATTTAATGTATATAATAAAATTGACTTCAAATTATTTTATTATTTAAAATTGGTTGTAAGTTGTTTTCTCTTTTTTTTTTTTTTTAAAATACGTACATATACTGTAAATATTAGTTTTTAGTTTATATATAATATAGGCACGTAAAATGTGCACAATATCATATTTCAATTAAATAATTAATTAAAAAATTAATGACGTAGACTAAAATTGTTTTTTCTTTTTATAAATCCAAAGTCCTTGGAGGACTGAAACAAATTATATCAAAATTTTACTATTTTTGTCCAGTTACTTTTGCGCTTATTATATTTTAGCCTTAATACATTCATATGTCTAAATTTAATCAATTTACTTTCAATAAACCTTAAAATTAATTTCTACCGCTAATTTAAAGTGAGTCTTTGCTAAAACAAATTAGCCACGATAGCCATTCTCTCTAGAAATTTAGGAAATAATTTTTCCTAAAGTCAGATCCTAGAGAATAATGGAGCCTCATAGTCTGCATCTTTAATTCTCCGTAGATAGGGTTATTTCATTGAGTCTCTCATATTGTGACTTCTCTTGAACAAAAAATATTTTTAATTTTTTGCTAAATTTGATAAGAGTTAACATCAAATTGTCTAATTTTAAGATTTATTGAGAGTATAGAGATTAAATTTAGACATTTAGGGTTTGTTTGATAATGATTTCTATTTTTTATTTCTGGTTTTTCTGTTTTCTGTTTTCATTTAGTTTTTAGTTTTTAGTTTTTGTTTTTAGAAAACAAAAATCATATATATTTGATAATTGTTTTCTTTTCTTAAATATGTTTGGTAACAAGTTTTCTGATTTTAAAAAATTAGAAAATTGAAAATATATATTAGAGAGAGAAAATTCTATATAATGTAAAGATAACAATGATTGGGGCAAAAGTAGAGATGTCTTCTCCCATTCTCGTGGTCGTGAAAATTTTTAGTCCTCTATCTCCACCTGGTTCTTCGGTCCAAGATCAATGTTAGAGAATCTTCATTTGGGGACGGGAATATTTGTGGGAAAAAATTATCCATTTTATAATTATTTTTAAAATTAAAAAAATGTAATAAATATATATTAATTATTTTTAGAATTACTATTTACTATTATAAATAAGTAGAAATATTATTTTATTCCCAATTTAGAGAAAAAGAGTAGAGTTGAGAAGAAAATATATGTTAAAAAAGGAAATTAGAAAGAGGAAGAAAAATTATAGTGAAAAAAATAATAGAGATAAAAACAAGATTCAAAATATACTTTTTAGAGAAAATAAATAAATACCTAGAGATAAAAGTTGTAACAAAAGAAAATTAAACGAGAAAAGAATATATAATTTTTAAATGAAAAATATATTAGAAAGAGAAATAAAATTTACAAAAGACACAATTGGTGGAGAGAGAAAAGTTCACAGAATTATTAAAAATTTAGAGGGAAAAATGAGAAAGATGAAAAATTTGGAAAAAAGAAATAATAATAAATATTTAAAATATTAATAATGGAAGAAAAATGTGATTTTGAAAAAAATGAAAATATGCTTTTTAAAAATTACTTATTATTATTTTTTAAAATTTAAATAGAATTTCAAAATCGTTTAAAAAACAGAAAATTAAATTGATTATCCAAACGATGCTGTTTTTCAAAAATTAAAAACAAAAAACAACTAATATTAAAACATAATAAATTATAAATTACAAAAACCAATGTCCATCATTTTTTTGTTTTAACCTAAATTTAAAGTTAAAAAATAAATACCATGCACATTTTTTGAAAAAATAAAAAATTAACAGAAATCTAATTGAATATTTATAATTACTCATCAAATACTTGAAAATGCTAATTGCTTTTTAAATCATTTGTATGAAAGTCAAATCAGTGGGCTTCTCAAATATTTCAGTTTTTCTTGTTTTCTAAGTGGAGCAAGAAAAAGAAAGAAAATTAGATGAATTGGAATTATTTAAAATATCAATTAATGTGAATTAAATATATTCTTGTGCATACAAAATAACATAATTTAGGAGGATTAAAATACTATTTTGGTCCATATACTTTTGACGTGAGTTCATTTTAATTGTTGTATTTTCAAAATGTTCATTTTACTCACAGTATTTTCAACATTGGTTAATTTTAATATCTATACATTCGAAATGTTTGTTTTGGTCCCTATACTTTTTAAAAGTGACAATTTTAGTTTCTTAAATTTATTTTTGATTTTTTTCTTTTATCACAATTTCAACCCGACATCATACTCAATATATTATTTGAAATATAATCATGACTTTACATTAAATGTTTCCGTTAGGTATAGAATTAGTGTTAAAATTTTTAAAATATGGACCAAAGTCTTTTGTTCTTTTTAAGTACAGGATCCAAGACGAACCATTCAAAAATACAAGGACTAATATGACTTAAAGGTTGAAATAATAGAGACCAAAATAAACATTTTTAAAGTACGAGGCTAAAATGTACCAAGGTTGAAAGTACATGCACTAAAATAATATTTTAACCTTGAAGATATTACTGGAGTTAGTAATTAAGTTTTGTTAATTTAACATTTTTATCTAAAGATTGAATCTCCATTTTTCTAAAATTATTGATGAGCCATGATTTCAAGAATAAAATGATGTAATTAGCATGTTTGTGCCGTACTTAATAATAGAAGGATTTGGCAGAAATATGTAAAATTGTCCCTCATAAAAAGATTATTTCAGAGGGTTCAAGTCCCTCCTTCCACTCTTTCTTGGTTTTGTCGTTTAGTGGTAACGAGTAGAGTGCATAAGTCCCCTAGTTTCGTTGTCGAGAAGAAAGATGTTATGCCGGGAGTGGTCGAAGTGCTTCGTGAAACAAGCACGAAGAAAGGGTTAGAAAATAACTCGGGCTGATCCGTTGAAAAGAAGACAGAACGAACTAGATTTGACATAACATTCTTGGCTACCTCCGATCTGGTAGGAAAGAAATCTGTAACCAGTGACTAGTTCCGCTATGGAGCTACGTGTTCTACTTACGCCTAGATAGTTTTTTTGTGATAATAGTGGTTGTTTTAGGCATATCTTTATATAAATGTTAAATATTAAGAACACATGATGTTGGATACCACACTTATATTTAGAACCCATCATTTCCCTTTAGTTTTCGGCCAAAATTTCTTGGTTTAGTTTTTTATTTTATCTTTTTTCATATTTTACCTTTTTTTTCTTTTAATTAACAGCTTAGTTTTTAATTATTTTACATTCGGCAAACTTTTTCTTTTATCAATGAAAATGAACTATTTTTTATTTCATCTATTGAACCCTGTGGTACACAAATTCGATTTGTGAGAGCTCGACAATTTAAAAAAAAAAGGGACCTTAAGCATTCTCAATAAAAATGCCTATTTATAAAGCGTTGAGTTGAAGAGGGAAGGCGAAAAAAGCAATCCATAGAAAGATTTGGCACCGCTAAGACAAAGCAGCAATAAGACAAGTTTAAGACAACCGGCGGAAAGGGCAAGTAATGGCACCTTAGAAAAGGTGGGGGTATACCTTGAAACACAAAGCTGATGGAGATTTCACTGGCTTTGTTAGTGAGAGCTAGCGCTTGCAATTGAGAACATTGAAGTTAGGAAGTTCGATGCGAAGATAGTCAGACTCTTTATTTGTCATCCGATGAGCTATATCTCTTTCCCTTAGTGTCTTTCCATTTCCGTCGTTCGGGAACAAATACTTCGCCCAATTCTTTTGAATCCCAACCCAGATTATCCCCACTAACCAATTAATTACGTTACGACCACTGACTGTGGCACAATTAGTTCAAATTCTTTCAAAAGGGAATGCTTTGGAATATTCCATTCTTGTAGAGCCACCACTTTAGATCTTGCTCGCGTATAATGGGAACCAAACCTCCTCGGAAGCTGACGGGCGGATGGAGAATGTTTGAGATACTTTGATCTAGCTACTTCTTAGGAGTTGGTTTTGGCTCATCCATTCAAGTTGTGGTCTAGAGGGTGTATTCTATAGTGATGGTCTAGGTTCCAATGTGAGTTGGGATAATATATATATTTTTTAATTTAAATTAATCAAAGAGCCATCATCAAGGAAGAATCGCTGCAATTTCCTACTCTTAACAAAGTAGTTTCTCCGGAATCCAATGAAAACAACGAGGGGAAAATAGAAGCTTTTGTTTGGATATCATGAACTAATTTTATTTTTAAACCTGTCTACGAATGTCTTACCTTATATTCTTTTAAATTGCAACTATCAAGAAGCATGACACTTAATGCCCTCATTGCTTATCTTGATTGATTAAAGTCTTATATAGTTAATTTACTTGTTGACCACTTGTTTAATCACATTAGTTTGAGTCCAATTTTGATAATGTTAAACTAAAATGGAGTTCATCAAGATAAAATGGTAAATCTAGATATAAGATCTCTTACTTGTTAAACAAAAGTTGAAGCTCAAAATATTTAGAATTCTAGTGTTTCCGTATGTAAGTGCTAGCTTAAGTTTCTAAGCAACTAAAAGTTGATATTGTCCGCTTTGGGCATAGCCTTCACGGTTTTGCTTTTGGTTCCACCCAAAAGGCCTCATACCAATGGAGATAATTGTCCTCTCTTATATACCCATGATCATTCCCTTCCCTAGTGATTTCCCTTGTTCATAAGGGTAAAAAGAAGCTAAATGTGTGCTGTTTTCTAATGTTTTAAACTCGGCAACCGTATTTTAAGCTTATTATAGTATCCAAAACCTTTCATTTTAAGTTATCTTAGATTATACATGCACATAGGACATTTTTACATTATTTAGAGTTGATTTCTAACGAAAATTACACTTTTGTGCAGAAAAATTTCGAGCTAGGCGTCTGGCGCCTTCCCCAATCCCGAGATTGCCCTTAAATAAAACACACGTTTTTGGTGTGATTTGAAGCCTTCCAAAGCTCTGCCACGTGCCTTCCATACATTAAAAGTTGTCAATTCAACAACTACCTAACCAAAAGGTGTTTGAAATGGATGGCTCCCCACAAAGCTCTCAACCTCCTAACCACCTTGAAGTCCCTATAAATTCAGCATTTCATTCTCTTCACTCATCATTCCGGAGTGATCATTTCAGCTTAAAACATTTACTTCTCAGCTTGTTTTCGTTTTCCTTTAAGTTTTTGAGTTGTTATTGTTTTAACCTTACTTATTTCAAGTTCTTCCTTTATTTTCCAGCTTATTATTCTTCAATTGTAAGTTTTAGTCTTGTCTAATTAAAATTCCAGCAAGTTCTTTGTTACTCTTATCTCTCTCATTCTCATACGAAGTTGTAATCACTCAACCTTGAGGAATCGACCAAGTATTGCTCCCCAATCTTGAAAGAGAACGGGTTAGGGTCATTCGAGTTACAACTCCATAATTTCCAGCTTGTTTTAATTCTACTCATCTTTTAATTATGTTGTCTACTTCCATCAACATTAAATTCTGTTTTTCATTTATCATCATGAGCTAAATTTATTTTTCCCAAGCCCGGTTATGGATAGTTAGTTAAAGTTTTTAAAACCCAACAAGGCAAAAGGCGTTTTTCTCCTCTTTTATCACTTAAAGTTGTTTCCATAAGTTGAAACTTGATTTGGCCGATTAATGTTTAACCAAGCATCAATACTGAAAAGGTTGATACGTTTTCACAACTTTACTGATTTAACTTTAGAGAGGAATACTTTAGACATAAAGATTTCGCTCGGGTAGCCTAGACATAGGACTTTGACCTAAGGTTACGGTTGGTTCTTACTAAATTAAGTTCTTTTTTCTAATAGACATATTAGGAATGGACTTAACCCTTCAAAATCACTTAGACATAAGAAGATGGCGAAGTAAAACCGAAGAAAATTTATGAGAGCCGCCTGGCGCCTAGTTGGAAAAAGTTTGTGTATTGTTAGCTAATTTGAAGTAACTGGGCTGAGTTTATTGCATTGAGTTTTTAAATATCAAAACCAACATTATCCTTATTATTTGTCACCCCGAATTCAATTACAAAGTCTCCGATCATTAACATTTCCTATAAAAAGACTTCATTTGTCCCTGAGGATCGATACTCGGAATACTCGTTCCGTTTTTACTACTTGTGACGGGTGTACACTTGCGCTCTCATTTATTTTGAATTCAAAATACCCAAACACCTAGCCAATGTGAGACTTTGTTTGCAATCACCTTACAAACTCAACAGAAATATGAGTAAAACTTAGTTTACAAAACGTGGTGATGCGCCTAGGGAGTTACAAGTTATTTTTCAAAGCTAAGATAGTAGCAGGGGGTTAGTTCCATTATTCTATTTTCCTTGTGTTTTAAGTATTGTTTCCAAAACAATCTCGACTAGTTTTGTCTTAAAATTGGTTGCTCATTCAAACGATTTACAAATTTATTTGAAAAGTAAACTAGTCTTTGTAAAGATGAACTTAAATACTTCCAATTATTATTTATAACAATGTACACTTACGCTTTGACCCTTGAACTGTTAAAGCTGAGACATAACAATTAACTAAAAATGATATTTTGAGAAAACTTGCCATAGATTGAATGAAAATATAAAATTAGAATAATAAAAAAGATGTTGCTTGTAAGAAACCAATATGATTAAGGGCATTTTGGGTAACAAAAATGAATTTAGTTAGATGTAACTTTCAATTACAATCTTTTCCCCAATTCACATTAATAATGAGTTTCTCTTTCAAATTATGTTCAATTTAGTGGCAAAACTAATTTTTTTTTTACTAACCTTTTCTTTTGGTTACACTTATATAAAACTTTTTTTTTCTTTTATAAACTTTGATGAATTTGGGAAGGTCTACGGTTAATTGATCTAATTGTTTTTTGTTTTTTAATTGACATTATTGAAGAAATTTATATGGTGTATATTTGAATTATATCACCGAAATTAAATGTTATAGAATCAGGTGGTTATTTCGTCAAAATGTGAGTATGCTGACCTGGACACTTACATATATTAAGTAAATTTTTTTTGTTTTTAGTAGTTATTGTTATTTACGTTAAATGTGTCTTTTTTTTCTTTAAGGAGTTGACCATGAATGATTAATAAAATTGCCTCTTGAGTTCTCAATTCCTTGATTTGAGGAGATTCGAATTCACAACCTCTTGGTTGGAGGTAGATGTCAATTACCGTTGAACTATACTTGCTTTGACTTTCAATTCATTGATTGAAGACTTGTATCAATTACTACTGAATTAGGTTCATCGTGATATTGATATTAAAAGTTTTCATTAACCATTTGAACAAAGAATTTGAAACACAATAGGCTGTTGTCACGACCAAATTACTATCTAAAAAATATATGGATGAAAATTGAAAAAAAGATATTAGATATCCAATATATGAATTAAATTTACCAAACTCATCAACTTAAATTTTGAGTTGAATGATCGTTTATTCATATTTATGGAATCAGAACGGGAGGTTTGAATTAAATTTACCATATCCATCAACTTAAATGAGTTGGAGGATCGTTTATTCATCCTTAACAAAAAAAGAAAAGAAAATAACACAAATAAACCAATGAATCTGAAAACTAATATAGACATGAGTAAAAAATTAATCAAACTAAAATTATATTAAGCTATGAAATGAAGAATATTCTCATCCTTTAATCACACAGATTACATTATACTTGACGTATGTTGATCTCTCGCAGCGGCACACGACCCAAATGAGCAGTAAAGCAAGAATCTTTGAAAAATTTCAGAATTCAGAGCGTTACTTCAAAATTGATTTCAATTGATTTAATTTTACGTAATCACACTTAAGGAAGGAGCCCCCCCTTTATATTCGGCCAAAATCATCGTTGCCAGTAAAATCTATGAAAATCTTTGATTTCTTAGACCCTTTTGGAGTTGAATTTGACGCATTTCAATTCTCCACGTCAACAACTTTCTCAAACCTCATTCTCTGAGTTGAACAATTTCTCTTTAATTTCTTCTCTCTTTGTTTACTCAACTCACAAGCATCCCCCGTCAATTTTTTTGGTGTTTGCTCTGAATTTTACTGCTTGTACTGCCCCAAATCTGTCGCAATTCAATAAGGCGATTGTCGGCGTTTTTGGGGTCATTTTGGTTTTGATTCTGAATCTTTAAGTGATGTTTTTACTTGACACCCATTCGGTATTTTGAGGAGTTGAGGCGTTTTGCTTCACTGAAATTGGATGGGAAGCAAATGGGTTCTCTGGAAAATGGATTTCCATTGAAGAGAGACCCTCTTCTTCGTTCTTCATCCGCTAGCAGGGGGGAGAGGCACCCATTTTTACAGAGACCCAGATCGAGATTTTCACGGTTTTTGCTTTTCCAGAAGATTGATTACTTGCAATGGATTTGTACTGTGGTTGTGTTCCTTTTCTTTGTGGTTTTTTTTCAAATGTTTTTGCCTGGATCAATCATGGAGAAGGAGAAGTCTGAGATTGCTGTGAAGGATGTGGAGAGAAGTTTAGGGGATTTGAAGTTCTTGCAGGAGCTCGGGATGCTGGAATTTGGGGAGGGTATTCGATTTGAGCCCTCGAAGCTTCTGGATAAGTTTCAGAAAGAAGCAAGAGAAGGGGATTTTTCATCTTTCAATAGGACTAGAAATCGTTTTGGGTATAGGAAACCTCAGCTCGCACTGGTGAGTTTGCTTGGAATTGGTTCAAATCTTTGAACTCTCTGCCATTGAAGTTCTAATTTAGTTTTTAAGTTCTTCCACGGATTGTGAATTCCTTTTCTTAATTCAGTGTCTTTTGTAGATTTGACAGTATTTATGAATAACTATTTTTAATGTCATTTTCTCCTTAAAGGTATTTTCAGATCTGTTGGTTGATTCTTATCAAGTGCTGATGGTAACCATTGCATCTGCGCTGCAGGAGATAGGATATGTGTTTCAGGTAATTAATTTTTTTAGAATATCTTAATGCAAGAGTCCTTACATAATTGCCTTCATTAACCTCAACTTATATTATATAGCTATTTTTCTGGGGATATTTGATGGAAGGTGTTAGCATGCTGTTTTTGGGAATTTCCTATCTCAAATATCTTGTTGCAGCTGATACCGTTCTTACACCTTCAGAAACCTTCCCGTAACCGGTTATATCTGTAGTTTTGTCACTCTACTTATACTTGGAAGAATAATAAATAAGAAAAGTAATTGGTTTCTTGTATTTTTTTGAGGCAAGGGGTTTTCAATTTGATCATCGTTATTTTTTGATTCCCCCTTAATAACTGTCTCGAAATAACCGATTCCCAGTATAAATAGACGTTTAGAATTAAGTTCGTCAGCTTAAACTTGCCTTATTTATTTTACATGCTGTCTATGATGGAGAATCATTGCACCAGCATGTGATTCAATGTCTGAATCGTTTGGTCTACAGGTTTATTCTCTCCAGAGTGGGCCAGTGAGTGATGTTTGGAGACGAATGGGAGTCCCAGTTACTCTAATTCAAACTTGTGATGAGACTGAGGTCATGGTTGATTGGCTAAAGTATGTTGATGCTACTTATCTCAGCATTTCGATCTACTGACATTTATCTCTACAGCATTCTATTAAATAAATTATGTATTGTTTCTATTTTCTAATTTATTTATGATGTTTTTTCCAGCTATGATGGCATACTTATGCACTCTCTTGAGGTGAAAGATGTCTTTTCTTGGTAAGAATGAGAATAGGCATTTTGATTATCATGAAAATGGAACTTATAGTACACTACTGCATAAAATATTGGGGTGATGTTGCCATTGCTTTATTAGAATTTCAATGAGTTACATTCAGTAAGATGGTTGTTCTATGAGATGAGTTTTGGTTTCATAACTGGGTAAAAAGTCCCATAGTCTTCTGTCTATTTGTGCATAGTTTTCTTGTTGGATTAACCGTTTTAATATTTTACAATCACTTGTTTGGTTCATACTTCTAAGCTATTTTTGGTCTCTAGAGTTCATAGGAGGAGTTTCGGAGTTTTGCTTGTAATAATGCCTCTCTTTCATTTCATACTTCTCTAAATTTTTTGTATTTATGTTTTTTTCTTGATCACCAACAGTTGGAGTCCTCCATTATTAAATTTCAGACAACAGCAAAGAAACAGACTTAAAGTAAAATGACCTTTGGTCCTTTACCACAAAAATTAGGATCCAACACAAGGATCCAACACAGCTTCCTTCATCATAGCATGTGAGCTTGAGCCTTGAATGAACCATACAGATACCTAAATCCTGCCAAATGCAACTACATACCTTTAGAAGCATAAGGGTATAACAACAGGCATGTGATTCAAAAATTTTGAAGCACAGCTACACCAAATACACCAATTAGGCCAAGGACAAAAGTTGAAGCTATCTAAATAAAGTCAACTGTGCTAATCCTTCCAAGCGTAATCAACCAACTAAGGTTTGAAATTTCTTTGGGACCTTCAGCTTCAATAGGTTTGGAGAAGAAAGAGATGGAAGAGGAGCGAGAAACCAAATGACGATACAACAATTAGTAGCCAACTTGATGATCTATCTTTCATGAAAGGCTCAACAAACTGGATATTGATGGAGGAGGATATGTCCATCAAAGATATAAGTGAACCTTTGGACTCTATTATGAGGCACCCCATTTTCTAGTGCTGTATTCTTTGCAGGAGAGCAGTTGAGGATCTTGATCACCACTTTTGGACTTGCCAATTTGCTACGACGGTGTGGGATTGTCTATTTAAGACTTTTGGGGTTCATCTTGCTCGGGTCAGAGAGTGTAGTTTGATGTTGGAGGAGACTCTTCATTTTCGTCTGTTCAGAGATAAGGGCTGGTTATTGTTGCAAGCAGATTTCTTTGCTGTTCTTTGGGTTTGTGGTTTTGAAGGGAACAACCTGATTTTTGGGAGTAGAGGGCTAGAGAGATTGAGGGAGGAGGTGTGGGACCTTGTTCAGTTCCAGTTCCATGTCTCCCAGGCCTCAGTGTCTGAAGTTTTTTGTAATGACTCCTTAGGTTTGATCGATCTTGCTTGATTGAAGCTTTTTTTTTTAGTTTGACTCCTTTTACTGGGTCGGTTTTTTGTATGCCCTTCGTTCTTTCATTTTTCTCACGAAAGCTCGGCTTTTCATAAAAAAAAAAGAAGTTGAAAAGTTGCAACTGGAGAGGTACCAAGGATCCACCCAAAACGCATATTACCATACCCAATAGGATATCTAACAAAAGGCACAAAAGTAGGATAAAATTGAGAGGTCGTCTTTCAAGGATTCCTAAAGGTGCCCAAATAACCTGGTTTTGAATCCCAACCATTGGAGTGCATCCAATATTTGCTATGACTTGACACCATGATGCTTCATTCTCCAAGGGAATCACCATGATTATTTAGACGGGAGAGCAGCGTGTTTCTATAACCCAAGTTCCCAATCCCTAAGCCTCATTCCTCACACGTTTTAGAAACAATTCCCAATTTGACTAAATATGAGTCCCTTTCCAGTTCCTACAAGTTCCTCATAATCCTTTCTCTCTTCTTTACAACTTTTAGATCTTATTTATTTATTTTCTGAAATTAAACAAAACGTTTCATTGAGTAAGTGAAAAGTTACCAGTTTAATCATACAGTATAAAGGAGTATAAAGGACTCGACTAAAGAGACTTCCGTCTTCTAAGAAAATACAGGCAAACGACCCACCCTTAAACTAGGAACGCTGAGACCCCTCTCTCAAGAATGTCAATACTTGTTATTTTAGTCACAATTCTAACTCATAAAGGATTTTAGCATAAACCAATTTCTAAGGAAGATTAGTTGCAAAAATTTTTAGTGGGAGACCATGAAGAAGTTTGATGTTTGATAAGATCACTATTTTCCTCACAAATTTTGGAATTTTGGAGAGAGAAAAATAAAGAATAATCTCACTCTACAGATATTGATTCAGTGTGAGCTTACCTCCTTGAGAGAAATAGGCTAGTTGCAAAAATTTTTAGTGGGAGACCATGAAGTCTGATGTTTGATAACATCAATATTTTCCTCACAAATCTTGGAATTTTGAAGAGAGAAAAATAAAGAATAATCTCACTCTACAGATATTGATTCAGTGCGAGCTTACCTCCTTGAGATAAATACGTGGAAAGTTGTATTCAAACTTATTTATCATTGGATAGCAATGATGTTCTAGGATTTTGATTGAAAGGCATAGCAAAAGGCCTCTGTTTTCCTTTTATTAGTTTTACTTTTGACGGAGTTTGTATCTTTGAACAATTTTTTTCCTTTTCATCCATCAATGAAAAGTTCATATCTTGTTCGAAAAAATCAAAAGAGAGTATTCACATCTAGCTGAACTACTGACATGGACTATTTTAAATTAACTTTGAAATAGGGGGTTAAAATGTCACTTTCTGGAACACTCTTTTTGAAATGAAAAGACAAAATAATACCTTTCCTAAGGACTATCAAGTTATTTTGTCAATTTTAAAAATGTAAACAAGATTTCTTTCATTTGCTTGATTTTTATGGTATGGTTTACTTTTCCCTTCTATTTTATTTTCTTTATTCACTTTTTTTGCAGTTAAACTTGTGTTATCATATTCCAATAATTGCCTGTATATGCCCATTATCTATCCATCTTATCTTGGACTAATAGTGAACTCATGGCAATATGCTGAACTCTATTATTTAGTTCAATGAATGATGTTGCTTGTTACAGCTTTTTGCAGGAACCTTTCAAATCCTTGCCACTCATCTGGACCATCCATGAAGAAACCCTTGCCTTACGCTCTCAAAACTATACTTCACTTGGGCTATTTGATCTTTTAAATGATTGGAAGAGAGTATTCAACCATTCAGCTGTTGTTGTCTTTCCCAATTATGTCATGCCGGTAATGGTTCTCTTAACAACTGATTAATATGAGATTAAACACAGGGACGAACGAATAAATCAACCTTGATAATTATAATGAGGAAGAAAACAGCCAGTTAATGTTTCTGTCAAGTTAAAAACATGCAATTTTTGTAAGTTTATAACTATTTCTTTTACAAGTTCTCTCTCAGTAAGAGTTTTATGTTGGATTAATATTATCTGCAGTGGAAATTTTATGTTTTAGAATTTTGCACCATTCATTAAAAAGAAATTTTCCGAATATCTTGTTCTTGTTACTTTTGTATCATTTCAACAACTGTCCTACATTGTGGACCTGTGATGTAACGAAGTTGTCACTTCTTATTAATTTGTTTTATTATTTCTAAAATCTCCACAGATGATCTACTCTGCATTTGATTCTGGGAATTTCTTTGTGATTCCGGGTTTTCCTGCTGAAGCATTGGAAACAGAAATTGCTGTCGCCTCAGAAGATAATCTGCGTGCAAAAATGGGCTATGAAAATGATGATTTAGTTATTGCAATTGTTGGAAGCCAATTTTTATATGGGGGCATGTGGCTGGAACAAGCCATGATTTTGCAGGCCATGTTGCCTCTACTTCGTGAGTTTTCTTTGGATGAACATTCCAATTCTCATCTCAAGATATTTGTTCTAAGTGGGGTTTCAACTAGCAACTACACCATGGCTGTTGAGGTGCATGTCTGCTTTGATTTACTTCTCTCTTTAACAAATTTTTAGCTTTTATTGAGTCATCTGGTTTCTCTTAGGCCATTGCTCAGAGACTGAAGTATCCGAGGAGTGTTGTGAAGCACGTTCCAGTTGATACAGATTCAGACGTTGCTTTAAGTATGGCTGATCTTGTGATATATGGGTCTTTCCTGGAAGAGCAATCTTTCCCTCAGATTTTGGTAAAAGCCATGGGCATGGGGAAACCAATCATCGCCCCAGATCTCTCCATTATTCGGAAACACGTATGTTTCTAATTTCTTATCTTCCTACTCTCAGGCAGCATGTTATAGACAGGATAATTTTTTCGTATTCCCAACAGTTCATGCCATGTCATACATTTCTTCTCGGACATCGTTTCCTTACAATAAATAAGAATCAAGATACAAAATAAAGGGAAGGCCGGATACTTACTGACAAAGCCAAAGTCAAAGGAGATTCAAAACAAGGTCCTGAATTACAATTTTTGTTGGTAAGAATGGTGTAATTACAAAAATATGAGGCACTCTTAAAGGACTGAAAAAAATCAGGAGTTCCATTAAATGTTAAAATTATTTCGTTCTCTAAGAAATGAAGCACTGAACCAAGAAATGAAGCTTAGACCAAGGAAGAGCATGGTAGATTTTTATCTCTTTGAAAAGCAGCCATCCACAAGCTTCCAGGGGCAGCTTTGTTGGCCAGAGTTGGGATCTCTTGGTCATACTATCTTAGAGGTCTCAAATTTGAACCTTCAGCTTAATACCAAAGCATTTTTGTCTCTTGAGTCCAAGCCTTGGGCTAGGCGCATATGCCCCCCAAGTCAAGGGGAGAAAAGTTGCGACTTCCAATTATTGGGAAAGAAAAAAAGCCATCCACAATAGTCCATGAGCCAAGTTTGAGGGAAGAATTTATATTTTTTCCTGGGTATTCTCCTTCCCAAAAAACTTTGCAAAAATCTATTGGGACAACCTGATCTTTTGACGAGAGATCAGAAAAGAGGAATTTTGCAAGAAAAATTGGCTTGTGAGATCCAATCTCTTAACTGTCTTCTGGCATATGCTTCTGAAGGGGTCAAACCTTCCTGGAGATAGAGTCAATCCCAACCACTCTTCCACCACCCATAATCGAGGTTTCATCTTAAAAGCAAGTTTTATCCTTCAGGGTTTAGCGATCTATGGAGTAGATGATTTGTTAACAATTATAGCATAGAGACTAGGCAGAGCTAGAGCAATGACAATTCCACAATATGTTTTAAATTTTACCATTTGTTTAGATCTGGTGAATTTACATAAATCACTATCTATGAATATGATAGATGTAAACATCCATTTAAAATTGCATATCTTAAAGATTCAACAATATTTGTATAGATGTACATATCCGTTTAAAATTGCATATCTTAAAGATTCAGCAATATTTGTTGTGTGTATGAACGTAGTTTTGTAATAAGTTACCATAATTGGTAAACCAGTTTTTGAACCTAATATACACATAAATTAATAGAGAAGATGCCTACTACCTATGTGACTACTAAAATAATCTAAGAAATTCATTTAAAAAATTCTTAATATATTGATCCTTAAGTTTAAAAGTTGGATATTGATGTCTTGAGGATGTGATGTATTATCACTTAGAGAAGGTAAAATGTATTTTACCTGTTTTCCCTCCCTTTCGTAATTTAATGTTTATAGTCTCATGCTCTCTTTATGTGCATGAATTGATACTTGTTTATTGTCTTTCATTCAAGATTCTACGTTCTTGCTTATACAGCATATTTTTTGGTTTCTTGTTTGACCTACCCACTCTCCTTCCAATTATCTCAAGGATATGTAGCATCACTGTTTTTTATTCTTGGTGGCATTGTCTCTCGGCCTTTTTTATTTAATCAGCACTGCTGCTGGTTCTCCCTTAGCTCATTGTTCGAGTTATAATGATACATATTTAACTTAAGGAATAGAGTCTCCTGCAAAGAGGTCCTATCAATCTTCTTCTTTTTTCTCCCTCTTTTATCTTTTTTTTTATTTTTTTTTATTTTTCCTTTTCTGTTTAGGTTTTCTTAGGATGTGTTTGTTCTTTGAGTAACTTTTTCCTTCCAAATTTGTGCAATATATTATTATTTGGACTACTTCGTACAGAAACATTTTAAAATGTGAGCACCAATCTTCGTACAGAAGCATCGACTAGGGGCTTTTAGCAGGTGCAAACATCATGGTTCTGAATTTATTCACTCGGTTAATTTCTTTGGTTTTTTTGGAATGTAGCTGGAAAGGAACACAAGGTACTTTGGAATGTGGCTTAGTTTGACGCCTTTGTGTTTCTACCAATAAAATTGCATAGGGATATTTGCTATTTTTGATTACCAACAATTGGAGTACCTTGTACATTTTTCCTTCATTGGCACTTTATTAAGTTGATTGAAATTTTTTCTGTGGCCTGTACTTCCATGTTACTAAAGAAAAAACATTTATCATACATTCAATTCTGGACAAGCTACTGACTGAACTGGCAATAACAAATAGGTTGATGACAGGGTAAATGGCTATTTGTTCCCCAAGGGGAATTTCAATGTACTTTCTCAAATTGTTTTGGAAGTGATCTCGAAAGGGAGGTTATCGCCACTAGCTCGCAATATTGCTTCAATAGGAAGAGGCACTGTGAAAAATCTGATGGTTTCAGAAACTGTGGAGGGATTTGCCTCACTACTTGGCGCGGTTCTTAAGCTTCCATCAGAAGCTGCACCAGCTAAGGCAGTTGTAGAAATCCCTTCCAGACTGAAAGAAAAATGGCAGTGGCAGTTATTTGAAGGGGTATCGAATTTCACATTCCTCAGTAGAAACGGAAAAAGTTCTGCGATTTTAGATAGATTTGAAAAGCAGTGGAACCATACTCAAAAAGGGAGGCCTGGTAGTCCTATTGCTTCTGATGAGTCATTTGTATATGATATATGGGAGGAGGAAAAACACACTGTGATGGCTAATATCAAAAGAAGAAGAGAGGAAGAAGAGGTAAGATTATAAGCAAACATGATAGTTTGTGTTTAGTTGGTTGTTATTTTCTTTCTTCTAATCATCATTTTTACTTGAATTTGACAGATAAAAGATAGAACTGATCAACCTCATAGCACATGGGAGGATGTATATAGAAGCGCCAAGAGAGCTGATAGATCTAAGAATGATTTGCACGAGAGGGATGAAGGGGAACTTGAAAGGACTGGACAGCCATTGTGCATTTATGAACCTTACTTTGGGGAAGGAGTTTGGCCTTTCCTGCACCGTACTTCTCTTTATCGTGGAATTGGGCTGGTGGGTTGCCAGAAAATTTTCTCACTGTTTTGTTTTCCATGTGCGAATGTGAGAATGAAAATTTAAATATCATATAGCAACCATCTGCTTCGCTGCATTGTACAATGACTTGAATAGTTTTCTTCTAACTTCTATGGTATTCAGAGATATATTTTTGCGACTTATGCTTGATTTTATGGTTCTTGTCTAAAATAAAGTGGCTTCTTATTGTAAGTTCGTTGTGGATACTTAACTAATTTAGATAATTTAGAATTCGTAAGTGTCAGGTATTTTTTTTGCATATAGTCTCTGAATTTAAGGTTTCTTGCAAGTGCTGGATTTAACGTTTTGGAATAATATATAATCGTCCCCTTAGTTTTTCCTGCTTTTTGGGTTTCTCCTTCAATGAAATGTTTCTTTCACCAAATAATTGAACAAGCTGTTATATTTACCATCTTGACGTGGATGTTTGAATGTAATTTTTGCAGTCCAGTAAAGGCAGGAGACCCGGGGTAGATGATGTCGATGCACCTTCACGGCTTCCACTTCTCAGTAACCCTTACTACCGAAATGTACTCAGTGAATATGGAGCCTTCTTCGCAATTGCTAACCGGGTCGATCGGATACACAAGAATGCCTGGATTGGTTTTCAATCTTGGAGAGCAACTGCAAGGAATGTATGTGACATCTCTCCATCCATGTTTCTTCTTAAGTTCTGTTTCTTGAAATCACTTTTGCATGTGTAATTCTCTTCTCCAACGGAAAATAAGAAGTAAATCACTTGAACTTGAAGCAATTCGTAGGATCTGTACCCCTATCAATTATGTTTTTAGCCAATGAATATCTTTGGAAGTTGGAGAGCTAGGCTGCTGTGGCATAATCTTTAGATTATTTTGCACAGAAGAAGTGGAACACTTAGACTGTTCAATAAGAGATTACACAACTATATTTGTATACCTCCTAATGTCGTTTCAGTCTGAGGGTGGGGCACGGGAATTCCCGTTCCTTGCAATCATTTCCAAAAGCAACACGCTTTTTTTTTTCCTAACCGATGTGCATGATCGAACAGGTATCATTGTCAAAAGCTGCAGAAAGTGCATTATTAGAAGCAATTCAAGCACGAAGGCATGGGGATGCTCTCTACTTTTGGGTGCGCATGGACTCGGATCCGAGAAACCCATTACAGCTTGATTTTTGGTCATTTTGTGATTCCATAAATGCTGGAAATTGCAAGTAAGACCTGGAAGATTCATGAACTAATTTCTGTACAGAATCATCTGCAGTCTCTCCATTCACCCTTCTGTTATCAATTCTTTATCTATGCCCTTTTTGTTTATAGGTTTGCGTTCTCCGAGACGTTGAAGCAGATGTACGGTGTAAGAAGTAGTCAGGAATTTTTACCGCCCATGCCTTCGGACGGTCGTACATGGTCCGTGATGCAGAGCTGGGCTCTGCCAACCAGATCTTTTTTAGAATTTGTCATGTTTTCAAGGTCTGCAAGATCTTTCTCATATCTTTGTGACACTGTTGTTCAAAAGTTCATTCATTGGTTAACTGTTGTCGATAATTTTCCGTATCTGCAGAATGTTTATCGATGCACTAGATGCGCAAATGTACGATGAACACCATTCGCGTGGACGATGTTATTTGAGTTTGTCCAAAGTAACTCCCCTCTGCGTTTTAGTTTCTCTGATACAAACATGGAATCATGAGCATATCGAGCACCCACCATCAGTTTACACATTCGCAATTGCTGAAGTTGAATCGTACTTTTTTACAGGACAAACACTGTTACTCCAGGCTACTCGAGCTGCTTGTAAATGTTTGGGCATATCACAGTGCGAGGCGGATTGTGTACGTGAACCCCGAGACTGGCGCAATGCAAGAACAACACAAGTTCGAGATCCGGAGAGGCCAAATGTGGATCAAATGGTTTTCGTATGCCACGATAAAGGGCATGGACGAGGACTTAGGAGAGGAAGCAGATGCCGATCACCCCACAAGACGGTGGCTGTGGCCATCAACAGGGGAGGTCTTTTGGCAAGGCGTATACGAGAGAGAGAAGGATTTACGGTATCGACAGAAAGAGAACAGAAAGCAGAAGAGTAAGGCTAAACTAGACAGAATGAGACACAGAAGGCACCAAAAAGTGATAGGGAAGTATGTAAAGCCTCCACCAGAGATGGAAAATTCAACCACAACAATTGGTACAGAAACTACTTTGGAAACTAATTAACTTGATGCAAATTGGAGGGTTAGTCAGAATTAGAGCCTAATCTTAAATTCATTTCATTTTTAACATCTTTTTGTTTTCTTTTTTCTAGAAGGATGTGTATTTGGGGTTTTTTCCCCTTTTGTTTATTGTTTAAATATTGTTATTATTATGTAAAACTACATTCTTCTTGACTGGTGCCATTGTATGTATTATATCGTGCTATTTTTCATGTTAACTCCATTTTTATGGCAATTCACTTCTAACTGTAATATATATACTCTTTGAAAGTTGGTAAATTTCCAGTGTTTATTTTTGCATAATCCTGGTATGAGATTGGATAAATGCATGAACTTAATTAAAAAAATAGTCAATATTTCATTTATCTCAAGATTGTATAAATATCCAATATTTAATTAAAGAGAACCAAAAATAAATATCCAGATTTATTTTTTTTTAAAAAAAAAGAAAAAAACTGAAATTTCATGCTATACCGGATCGGGATAGTCCCGATCCAGATTATACATGTACTATCCCGATATTGGATTATACTTGTCAAAGGGCTAAGACTTCGGGTTGGAAGTATTTCGAAGATTAATGTTTTCAATGATCCTTGGCTTCCTAACGCCCAAGATCGACCCCCAACACACCCAATTTTTTTATTTATTTTGTTTCGATTTCTTCTTCTTTCTCCCTTTCCCGGGAAATTGACCCAAATGACCCAATTGAGTTTTCTTTTTGGTCAAATAACCCACCCCTCAAAAATGGTTTTTTCTAACCCTAAAACAACTTTTTCTGCATGTAAGTGGAAGTAAATTACATTGGTGCTCATTCCCTCTTCCACTTATCTATATTTGTTCTCGTTCTTCAATTTTCTCTCTTATTCTATTTTTCGGTTTCCATTTTCGTCAATTTGGTTCGATTTCTTGAATTTTTCGTTTTAAAAAAATGGAAAAGATATTCACAGTTGGAAAAAAATATGAGTCGACGGTATTTTGAGGCAAAGAGAGATTTACGAATGGGGATTGAAGTTGAAAGGGCATAAATATCGATTGAAATTTATTTGGGTTCATTGAAACTTTTTTTTTTCTTTTGAGGTAGGATTCGTTGAAATCATCTTATGAAAAAATGTTAGCAAGAAGAGAGGTTAGTTACTGACGAAGTGGTTTGTTTATGCATTGATTAGAAATGCAACTTTCTTTTCTTTTTTTTTTTTTTAAAGTGTACTATTTTCTCAAGAAGTCTACCGTCTTAATTGCTTTGATATTGGAATAAATTCTGCTGAAAACAGAAAAGAAACTAAGAAAATTCTCCCCTGAATTGATCTTTAAAATTAAAAAGTTAGATTTGTACTTAGAAAAATAAAGAACGTCGACATTAACTTATAATTTTCCATCTGCTGACATTTATCTCTAAAGCGATTTATGTAAATTACGCCAGAAATTACTGTAGATTTTTTTTTTTCAAGATGGTTCTATTTTTGGTTTATGAGGATTCAGAATTGGATACAAGTGGGTGAAAATAGAATTGTTTGCCAAAATTTATTGGGAGAGGTCAAATTTTGAACAAACTATAATTGAATCATCTATCGCATAAAATCTATTAATAATTATTATAATTAAAAAAAACACTAGACTATATAACAAGCCAATAATATTTTTATCTTTATCTCGTCTTATCAGAAGGAGTTTAGAGGTTTTTCCTTTGTCAAGGGACTCGTCCAAAATTGTACTCTTACTCTACAAAGATAATAGAGAGAAACACACTCTCAATGGCTGGGCGCCACTCTCTTCAACCGAAGGACCTATAATGATAGAGACAGAATTGTTATGGATGCCAAATAATTTTGCTATATTTATTAGTATACACCAACAATAAAATTTGATAAAGAAGAGAATTTTGTATAAATAAGAGAGTTTTGTAAGATATAAGTTAGATAGACATTTAATAAAGAGTTTGTCAATATATTTATTCTATGTTTATCACGAAAATAAAAGAGATTAAAATTAAAAAGATTAAAATTTTCCAAAAATTACAAGTCTAGTAAGAAGTTAAAATATGTTAGACTTTTACAAAAATTAGCTCAATTTGTCATTATTTTGAATTAGACTTTATTATTTTAATTTAAACTAACTTTTATTTTTTTAAGTCTCTAACTTTTATTTTTTTAAGTCTTCCTTGTTTTTCCATTTGGTTCTTTGATTTTCGATTTCGATACACTCGTTCCAACCATCCAACCGTTCCAATAAATTAAGAGATCGCAAGTTTAAATCCTTCTATGTATTAGTATTGTACTCATAAACATCACTAAAATCATTTACTATCGCTAAAATCACTTTCATTTAAAATATTAATATTTTTCGATGATACATGCTAAAACACGCCTTAAAAAAGGATTCCATCATCAGTAGATATTGGCTCATCAATCCAAGAACATCTTTACTTTGATTGCAGATCTTTTCAAGTCTTTATCCGACCATTCAACATAGGATGTTGTCTTGACACAGATTTCCCACATCCTCCCCTCAGTTTCCTCTTCTTCGCCAGCCTTTTTTCCAACTCTTTCACTCTTCCACTTAGTTTAGATATAATGGCTATCTGTTCTTTTCCAGCCTCCAGCAACTTCTCCACCATCTCCTTCATTTTCTCATTTTCTTCTACCAGCCTTTTGTCCATCTCTTCTGCCATTTTCTCACTTATGACCTCATTATGTATGTACGAGTTTAATAGTTCCTTTTGCAATTCTGCAGATTCCTCAGAGGGTTGTTTAGCCTGAAGTTGAACTTCTCCAACCATTTTCTCCTCCTCGTATGCTGTTTCCGACTCGGTTTCTGCAGATTTCTCAGAGGGTTGTTTAGCCTGATGTTGCACTTCTCCAACCATTTTCTCCTCCGTGTCTGCTGTTGCCAACTCAATTTTCATGTTCACGTCACCAGTGCAGTTTGATTGAGATTCATCAAATGCTCCGTTTCCATTTTCACATTTCGACTCATGACTCGAATCCTCCCCGTTCTGCTCAGCATCTGATACTTCTCTCGTTTCAATGTGCTCAAGCTTAGCAGCTTCAAAATTACTTGGATCATCATCCTCTCTCATTGGCACTTCCAAACCAGCAGCCAAATGATCTTCAGTTTGTCCATTTTCATCGGGTACAGAAATGGTTGCTTGACAATCATCAGTTTGTCCTTCCATGTCAATCTGAAGAATTTCATCAGTCACCATCTCCACATTCTGTTCCATCTCAGCCGTTGATTCAGCCTCTTCTGGCTTTTTATCTTCGAAGAGCGATGATGCAACTTTTTCACACTCTAATTGCTTGGAGCAGTTTTGAGAGGACAATTCAGAGGTATCTTCATTTTTAACTCCAGGTTCTCTTAGTTCTACAACTTGTTCTGCTTCACACGCCTTAGAGTTCTCATCATTTACATCTGCAGGGAAGGACAAGGCTCCTTCAAAGCAATCCATATTATGGATTTTGTGGAGAGGTTGAGCTTCATCAGACTCCCCCAACAAATTGTTGCTTTCATCTACCCCTTCGGAGAAGAGTTCACCAATTGCTACTACATCAACTTCGTCTTGCTCGTCCTCCTTTCTGTCATCAGGGGCTTCTACAGGGGACTTCGCACATTCAAAGTCAGCCATATGATCAATTCCACAGAGAGGTTGAGCTTCCTTCGATTCAAAGCCAGCCATATGATCAATACCACAGAGAGGTTGAACTTCCTTCGACTCTCCCAATACACTGTTGCTGTCATTTGCCCCCTCGGAGAAGATTTCGCCAATCGCTACTTCATCAGCTTCATCTTGCTCTTCCTCCTTCCTGTCATCATGGGTTTCTATATCAAATTGTTTAGCAGGTTTTTCTGTGGTGACTTCCTGTACTGCTTCTGTAGGCTTTGTAGTCATCGTCGTGCAGTCAAGTTTCTCCTGAAGGGATACAAGTTCTTTTGCCAATGATTTTCGGAACTCCCTCACAATTGGATGCACACCCTTTTGAGTGCAAAATTAAAGAAGATACCTTAGAATAGGCCTTCAAATCTACACTTCAGTTTCAACTTAACATGAAAGTAATTTATATGTGAATATATATATATTTGATACAGCATACAAAGGGAAATTTCAAATTTTAAATCTAAACACTTCGATCTCAAATCCTTTAACCTTAAACAAAAGAGAACTGCACAATGCCACATTTGAAAAATGCTTTTAAAATTGAAGCCAAATTTTGAAATTTAAAAAATGTTATAAAAACTAAAATATTAGCTAAGAATTCAAAATTGTTTTTAAGAGAAATGATAATGGTGAGAAAATAAGCATAATTTTTTATTAAACATTCTACCAAAGAAGAAATTATAGTTGTGCAGTTGATAAATACCTGTATGGTGTCAAGTTTTAGCAACAGTCTCATTATCATTTCTCCAGTAAACATTCTTTCTTTCTCATCTTGAGGAGCCAATTCCAGAGCTTTCACACGATTTTGAACCTCAATGATCTGTTGACGAATTTCAACAAGTTGCTTCATCTTTTTTACAAGTTCCCATTTCCTAACTTCATAACCGCGGTAGGCTGACTGGATGAGCAGGGCAGCTTCTATGTCTGTCATGTTCGGCTGTTCCTTTTTTCCTTCATCCGGCGCTAAGTCCTCTGAACTTACCTCCAACCCTTCATCAACAACCTTAGTAGATGTATCGGTATGGCTTATTCTTCCGTCTTCTTTATCTGTACTTTCTTCTCTTCCATCTTCTTTACCCGTACATTCCTCTGTTCCATCCTTGCAAATCTTGTCAAGAAACTTCTCCTCTGACTGCCTCGGTGAGCTTAGCTGCTCTCCAGTGCTAGTGATAATCTCCTCGTTCTCTTGATCATGGCTCTCATGGGTCCTCACTTCTACTGTCTTAATGATCTTCTCGCTACCATGCCCTGCTGTAGCATTATCGATCTTTGAATCCGATTCAGAATTATCTTTTGCAGCAATCGGAGTTAAAGAACTGGGGGACTTCGAACCGCCATTGCTGTTTTTCTTCTTTGGAAGAGGATCCACTCTGAGACAAACAGGGGGCAGTCTTGATTTCTTTGGCGAAGATGAAGACTGCCTTTTGACATTGTTTCGAGATGACTCCTTTTCCTCGTTGTCTTTCATTGTCGCAACTGGGATCGGGATGCATCTTCTTTCTCTAATTTCCTTGGTGTCTTCAGTCTTGTGATCCATATCCTTTTCAGGAATATTTCTCTGATTTATGGTCTTCAAAACTTCAGGACCCTCAATTGTAGAAGGCTCTGCAGTAGGTTTCATGGGAGCATCCATATTTTGAAAACTCTTTCTAGCGGGCATCCAAATAACAGGAAATGGGAGCTCATTTTTTCCATCCTCCTGTTGTTCATTCTGCACATTTTGTACCCCCATGCCTTCTCCGTCAGGCAACCACGACCCAAGGTGGCTCAGACCAGACAAAGGCCAGCCACTCCAGAACTTCAGACCCTTCTCAGTCGAATTAGAACCATGACGCTCTTTCTCCTGCTTCGCGGTTTCAGTTTCAGAAGGCTCTCTCTCTTTTTCCCTCCCCATATAATCAGGAGGAATCCACAAAATTGGGCATTGATTATCTCCTAATTGAACAGGAACTAGAGTCCCCTTCCTTTGAAAATCTGGTTTCTCTTCTTCAATTCTCACACATTTACCTTCGTTCTGGTTCTGGTTCTGGTTCTGGTTCTGCCCACACAAACTGTTAGGACAGCCACAGCAGTGATGATTCCTCATCATCATGTTCTTATCAAACTCAAACCTAGGCTGCTCTACATTATAATGTGGGGGAGGAACATATGGGACATAATACGGTTCGGGGCACGACGGGTACCCGCCATAGCATTGCATATGCTGATGCGGTGCAACGGGATGGTGTGGCGGTCTGAAACCATAACAGCCAGGGAAGAAGTTACCACCATTACAGCAGGAATAAACTGGCATTGGGTAGCCAGAATACCAAGTATTACGCCCAGAATCAGTTGGAGGCACATATGATCTAGTTGGATCCATCATCATGTAAGATGGGATATGTTCCATATTTGAATACTGATATGGATTGGAAGGCATTTGATTTTTCTGGAATGGATGCGAGTCCATGTACCTGTAAGCTGGAATCATTTTCTCTAGCTGATCTGAAATGCACTAACGATACTCCTGTCAAGAATATCATCAAACCACATTGTAAAAGATGGTTTGTGAAATTAGCCAAAATCTACAGATTAAAATCATCCTACTTAATTGTAAGAGCCAATGCCAGCAATATATCGTCCAATCGTCACTCACAAATCTTCAAAAGAAATGAAACTCAGCTAATTTACTAATTGAGGATATCAATTATATGATAACACATGTTCAAGTAAAATTGATCAAATCCAAAGTTGTTGGTCAAAATTTACATAAATTCAAGGGTGGAAATGAACTTTCTTCAGAAAACAACGAGAGAATAACTCAAGCACTTTTACCACAGATACAGGCTTGTACAGTATTATAATTATGATCCAAAATGCACAGTACGGCTTCATAAATTCCCAATTTCAATTCAGATCACTCAAAGACGCAATTTAGGTTCCCATATTTCGAATTGAACATAAAAAATATAGAATTCCGAAAACTTAATCATGAACTACTACAATACAACATCGTGAAAACTCACCTCGATTTGTCGAATTAAAAGTTAAACGAAACGGGAAGGAAAATCCACCAAATCGGTTCCAAATACAATCCAGACGACTTAGATCTCGGCTCGAAAACGGTCCACCAACCCAGAAAACAGAGACTCAAATTCCCGAACTCGCTTTTACGTCGATCAAAGTTGCTCGTCAATATCTGAGATGACGAATTTTGAGAAATGTGGGCCATTTTATACAGCGAAGAATTCGAACAAAATTTTCCGGCGTCTTCGAGATTCTTCTGGTAGTCTCTCGCCGGAAATGTCTGGAATATGAAATGCCACGTGTATGTATGTTATGTACGATGACGTGAGAAGTTAACCCCGTCGTACGCTCCCGCACATTTACGGAATTGCCAAAATAAAGAATTTAAAAAAGCGCAATTTTGTTAAATTACTTTTTTTTTTTGTTAAGACAAGTTACTCTTTTAGGCCGTGGTGTTTAATTTCTAAATAGTCATTTTTAAGGATATTCATTTTTCGAGTAGGTCCTGTACTCACGGAGACCCGTCTAAATGGAGTTGGGAAATCTCGTTTAAATTTGTCGTGAGATGGGCATGGGGTAAAATTTTCTTTGCCACCTAAATGGGTCCAAGTTCTTCGTTCTCTGTCCCGCATCATTTTTTTAATATATATATAGATATATATAACATTAAAATAATTATATTTTTCTCTTTTCATACCCATGTACTAAAAAATTCATGTATTCTTCCCTACCTACCCACCTAATATATATATATATATATATATATTAAAGAGAATTATGACCTCAGAAATTAAGCAATTAAATAAAAAATTTAAGAAAAAATATTTATTGGAAAATAAATCAAATAATAAATGAAAAAAAATCCCTATGGAGAACTCTGATCCCCACTAGTTATCTGCGAGGAATTCCCGAAAAAATTTATAGAGAATTTTGTGCGGATGAGGAGTTAAATGGAGGGCAAGGATGGAGATGGGGGAGGTTGGCCTATGAACATCCCTAGTCATTTTAGTTTGTCTACTTTTAAAATATTTGTTTGGATCTATATACTTTTTAGAATGTAACCATTTTATCCATTTAATTTTATTTTTAATCTCATTTTTTAATAACAATTCCAATAAAGCATTATATTCAATATATTAACTAAAATATAATAATTATTTTATATTAAAAGGTTTCAGTTAATGAACATTATTTTAAAATACAATGATAAAATTTTTTTAAGTATAAATATTATAATAAAATCAAAATTGAGAAGAATTATGAAAATGGGAGAAAACTAGTAGATAGTGGAAAAGTTGCCTCGATTGAATAGTGCCAAAAAAAAATTAGATGGCTCCTGTCTTAATGTAATATTAGCATCATGTAGATAGATACTTTTAGAAAATTTTCAAAAAAGATTATAAAATATTTGAATTAACGAATACGCATATTTTACTCTTTTCAAATAAGTTAAAATTTTTTTACTGTTGATATTATATCTATATTAACGATATTTTGTATTTTGTTGATTATATTGATATGAAACTTATAAACATATGAAAATGTCGACATATATATACAAACTCCTAACCGGAGACGATGACCCGGCCCTTCTCCCATATTTCTTTTGGAGGCAAAGAGAAACTTCTTGAGGAGTGATAGAAGAGAAAAGAGGGTACGAGGAATTGGAGAAAATGTGGGAGAGAGACTAACAGAAAGAGGGAGAATGTGAAGAAGTTGGGGGTAGAATAAAAGAAATAAAACATGAAAGAAGGGACCGTGGAAAGTGCATGGGGGAGAAAAGAAAAATTCTTAGTTCGAGAATTCTATCACGACCAACATTGAAAAATTGATAATTTATTATTTAGAAAAAAGTCTCTACTTTTCATTTCTCTCGTATTTAATAGTAATCCAGATAATATAGTATAGTTTCTCGCCTTTTACCGAGGTTTGAGATAGGCAAGGAGAAGAGAACAAAGGAGGAGTGAAACTTTTAGATAAAAGTTGATGGCAAGATATTTTTATATTTTCTCACTAGTACATAATAATTATTAAAAGAAAAAAAGGGCGTCCTATCAATGCAAATAGCCCCAATTTTATTTTTTGGTGAAATATATAAAATTGTACGATCTCAATCAGCAACAGATCTAACATTTTCATTCAAATTTAATAAAAATAATTTATAAGTTAGCAAATAAAAAGTATAATTTTTTATTTATAATAATGATAGTTTTTTGTGCAATAAATTAAAAAAAATAATAAAAAATCTAAAAGATAAATTATAATATTATATATTAAGTATTAGATAATTAATTTCTATGATGAGAGACGTCATTGAACTACTCAAATAGTGAAATAGTGGTTGTCCAATACAAAATTCAAATTAAAATTTATGTAAAATAAGAACAATTAAATATAAAAAAAAATTAATCATTTAGAAAGATGTGAGGATAATAATTTATAATAAAGATATTACTCATATGAAAAGGCAACATATAAATTGAAAATAAAAACAAGATGTGAAATTGTAAAAATAAGTAACTAAATAAACAATAAATGTATATATTAAAAAATAGTAGGGTGGGAGTAGTACCATTTAAAAGTGTGAAAAATTTGGCAAATTTATATAAATAAAATTTTCAATTTTTCTATCAGAAATAAAAGAAACGTGAATTTTATGATTTTTTTTTCCCCTTTTAGAAATATACAAATTAGGTAAGATTCATTTCATTTGGTTCCAGTGCAACAATAATTGACAAAATAGTTGGTAGTAATGGTGTTCAAAAAACTCGGTGAGCCGAATAACTCGGTTGGATTGGGTTGGGTTGAATTTTTGTAAAATTCTTATTCTCTAATTAATTGTCCATGTATGRTTGTTTCTTGCTAATGGTATGATTTTGAGTCTGATAAAGAATTCTCAATTTTGCTACGTTCTTGTAATTGTATTATGATCGGATTACAAATGTTTATCTATCTATTTCAATATTTGAACGTTTGATATGAAAATTTATGCTTCTTTTTTTTTTTTTATAGAGAAACAAACAATTTTAACTGTTGAAGATAAATTTGGACCTAGGTTTGATTAAGAAAACTTTTCTTGTATTGTACTGAAATGTGTGTGACCCACTGATCTCAAGCATGTGGCATCCAACTGTTCGTTACCAAATTTTGCTATTCAGAAACTTAGAGAAGTTGCAAAATGACCTAAGCCAAAGATTCTAAAATCTACTCCAACAAACTTTCCAAATTTGACATTTTCTTCCTTTAAAAAGTCCAAGAACCCACATTTGACTTGGCTTTTGTTTTTTTTTTAAATGAAATTTAAAAAATTTCTGTCCTCCTCGATTTAAAATATTATATTATTTGATTTATATTTATTGCTTAAAAAGATAAAATAAAAACATAATTTAACATTTTTTAGTACAACATAATTTACCATGCAGTATATACAAATACAACCCCTTGCATTATTCTATAAACCATGATTCTTAATTTTTAGAATTTATTTATATTCTTGAGATTAATTTTAGGTTTTAAATCTATATTTATTTTAAGATTTTTTAGTATCATGCGGCCTTAAAAATTATTTAGTATTAATCTTTTTTAATAAATTGTTTAATAGAAATTGATACGATGACATCATTTATTCATTTATTGACCTAGTGAATTGATATATAAGTATCTATTAAATGATTAATAGAAATGTATAGAATAGAGAATTAATCATGACGAAATTGATATTTTAATGTACTAAAGACAAAATGTTTTAAAAGTTGAAGAATTAAAATTAGTGTTAATAAAATTACCCATGATCAAGCTCAAGGTTTTCTATTAACTTTAGTAAAAGATGAGGATTATTATTATATTACTAATATGCGGATTAAGTGAAAAGTGAGGGGAGAAAAAACATTTTCCATTGTTGATTAATAAATGGGTTTTAAAATTTTAAAATTATAGAAATTAAAACAAACAATAATTTTAATTCCTAAAATTTGATGGTTCCACCTAAAAAGCTTTTGTTACTTTTTTACAATTTTTTTTTGAAAATCTAAAATAAATTTGTACCGTTATTACCATTATTTACATGTTAATATGACACGTTAACTGGATTAATAGTGGCCAAAGCGAGAATAAACGAACAGAACTAAACAGTAATGGTCATATATCTCCAACCAAAAGATTCTGAGTTCGATCATTTACTCCACATGTTGTACTAAAAGACTAGATTAATAGTGATTTCATAAAACTTATCCAGTTGATAAAAATAAATAATAATGTGGTTAAACTAAAACAAAATCTTTTGGCTAGTTTTATGTTATTTTATTCAATTGACATGTTCTATTATTCCTCAAATTTTTAAATTACCATTTATTAGCCAAATCAACAGCCAGACGTTTATAATATGTTATACAATTTTAATTTTATGTCAAATAAATTTCAGAAGTTGTTAGACACCAAATTAAAAATATAGGCACAATATCGAAAATCGAAGAATCTATTAGAAATTTTTTAACGTGCAAAAATTTATGCCAACTTACTATCTCAAACCCAAATACCCAAATGTAGTGAGTTCGAATCCTTACTGATCAATCTATTATACACAACTTTATAATTTTATGTAGACTAAAATTAAAACTAATTATGATAGAGAGAAATAAATTTGGATAATTTATTAAATTTGTTATTAGTTACCCTTTCTGGTAAAGTCAGCAGTGAGTAACAAAGACAAAATTAACAAACAAACGGAAGCCGGGTAGATATAGAAACAAGGGTTTTGAACCCACTCCTGAAATGACTCCGCTTTCGTTCTTACTTGCAAAATTTTAACACAATAAAAACCATACTAAAATAGACGTTTAGAAAAGGTTAAAATACTATTTTGGCCCCTGTAAATTTAGTCTCGGTTCATTTTAGTTATTTTAAAAATGTTCATTTTGATTCCTATATTTTTAACTTTGGTTCATTTTAGTTGCTGTACTTGTTTATTTTGGTCCCTGTACTTTTAAAAAGTGATCATTTTATTCACTCTTCGCAAGATTTTAATACAAATTTTACACCTAACGAAAAAAATTTAACGTACAGTAATGTTTACATTGTAAGAAATATATTGATTATAATGTGGTGTTGAAATTGTGATAGAAAAAATGAGATTTAAAATAAAATAAAATAAAATGACCAAAATGAACATTTTCAAAATACATGAACCAAAGTAAAAAGTACATAGACCACATTTTAAAAGTATAAGAACTAAAATGAACTAGAACTCACGGTACAGGGACCAAACTAGCTCTAGAAAATACTTAAGGTTAGAAAAAGAAATGAACCAAAAGTAAGAAAAAAAAGTATTGAAATAATATTTAACCCTAGATATTATTATTATTATTATTATAAGTAATTATGTTTTGGATATTATAGTATTGTTATTGGTTACCATTTCTGGTAAAGTCAGTCATGAGCAGCCGCTCGAGTAGCAAAGACAGAATTAACAAACAAACGGAAGCAGAGCGGATATGGAAATGAGGGTTTTGAACCCATCCGCACGCCGAAATGACTCCGATTCTTCCCGCGGATCTCCAATCCATAAATTCTCAACTCTCCCAACTCCATTCTTGATTCGTTCTTCTTCTTCTTCATCCTTCTTCTCCTCGATTTTCGCCGCCTCTGCTGGGGTTTTAGGGTTCCAAGATCACGATCAAGGTCGTCTTCGTCTTCGCCTGCGTTTGCGTTTGTGCTGAGGAGAAATTTGTTTTGTTTTGACTTTTTTGATTTTCTGAGGAGACATGGCGGATTCCAACACTGATTTGTTCGACCCCAGAGCGGCGATTGGCTCGGATCATGTGCTCGGTGCTTCCACTTCCTCGCGCGACTCTGATTTTGGGTTCGCTTTTGACGACAGTAACTTCTCCGATCGGTTGCTTCGGATTGAGATCGTTGGTGAGTCTGATGAAACGGAGCCTGATGCGAGTGAGTGCAGCAGTATCGCCGATTGGGCTCGTCGGAAGAGGAGGAGAGAAGACAAGAAAACAGAAAACGGTAACCTACTGTCTTTGTTTCTCTTTTCAGTTTTTGAGGATGAATTTTGTCTATATTTAGAAAAAATGCTAGGTTTTCCGTTGGGTAGTGTAGCTTTCCACATGTTCTTGTTGCTGGGGATTTTTTTTTTCTTTCTTTTCTAAAAATAATTGTGGGTCTTGGTTTATACAAGTTCTTTTGTCTCTGGGCCGACGTACAAGGGTTGAATTTAGATAAAATTATTTTAAGTTCCAGAGTTGGTTATTTGATTTTCCTTTGGAGGATGCACGTAGAGTTGAGGAAACGAAAGGGAAAAATGTACGAATTTAAAGTCTACGTTCTTAATTTTGGATCACAGGCTTCTACAGGATTTGTAATGTTAAAATGTTGAGGTTAAATGGTTAGAATGGCCAATCTTTCCTGAAAAAAATAAATAAAAGTGATGATAATGGTCGCCCTGATTGTAGTTGGCGATGGAAAATATAGACTTCCTATGCAATGTCTTACTGCCTGTATCTAATATTGAAATCTCGAGATCAATTTATGTTTTCAGTATGCAGCATTTTCCATTTTCTTCCAGCATTTCAGTGGGCTCACTTTATTGATGCATTAATGGTTTACCCTCTCTTTTGACAACTTTGTGTATGAAAAATTCGATGAAAAAAAGTAATTCCTTTTTTCTTTTTTTCATTCAGTTTCGGATCTCAGTAAATGCCCACCACAGCAAGTTTCGACCTGTGATGAGCCTGATATGGTTGATGTCTTGTCCTTTGACAATCCAGATGAAGAACCTGTGGCGATGGTTGAAGAATCACTATCAGGTAACAGAAAGTCTAATCAGTGGTCAATATCATTTTCTAGTGGAATAAAAAATTTATACGGTCAGGTTTTTGGACATCGTGTTTGATTCATGAAAGTTCTATTGCAGGCGATGAAGCTGCCAATTGCAATGATTTCAATTTGGATTCTTCTCCTGTGGTGAGGGTGAAGACTTTGCATATTAGCTCCCCTATTTTGGCTGCCAAAAGCCCATTCTTCTATAAGGTAAAGTTTAATTGTATTTTATTGACATTGTTTTATGACCAGAGCACAACAATCCCAAAGACAGTTCCTTTTCTCACTCTTATCTTGTAAACTCTCAGCTGTTCTCAAATGGCATGAAAGAGTCAGATGAACGACTTGTGACATTACGGATCAATGCCTCTGGTAAGAACTAACATATCAAATTACTTTCCAAACGAAAACTATTGAATGATTGTTTTTGTTTGTCTGATAAAGAGAAAGCTGACTTGTTATTTGGTGTCCTTTTACTCGGAACAGAGGAAGCTGCTCTCATGGAGTTGTTGAACTTTATGTACAGCAATACTCTGTCTGTTACCACAGCTCCTGCTTTATTGGATGTGCTAATGGCTGCTGACAAATACGAGGTTTCTTCATGCATGAGATATTGCAGTAGACAATTGCGAACTATGCCTATGACACCTTTGTCTGCACTGCTCTTTTTGGAGCTGCCCTCCAGTGTTTTAATGGCTGATGCTGTCCAGTCCCTGACTGATGCAGCAAAACAGTTCCTTGCTGGCCGTTATAAAGACATAACTAAGTAAGTGCACTATTCCTATGATGATCAAAATTTTATTTTTATTATATTTATTGAGGTTAAGTTAGTTTAGTAGGGATACTAGAGGCTGAATGATCAAATCTGAGATTAATCCGTTTAGTAGGGGATATTATATTTATTACTTGAAAATGACCATAGGTAGCCTGAAATTTCTCGCATACCCTTTATTCCTTCTTTTCATATGGTACCATTTGTGCTGCACCTAAATCTATTGTTTGGCATGCCATGTTTTTAAATAAAGCACTTGTTATTATAAGCAGAAGGAAATTAGTTAAATGTTTAAAAGCCACTTTAAATGCCCTTTTTTTTTTATCTATTTATAATGTGTTAGAATATCTTAAACCACTTTTGATAAGCACGTTTAATTGGTCAAAAACGTTATTTACCTTTAAAATTTAAACCAAACACTGCCATTTTGCTGCGATAATTACTCCGTGTCCTATTTCCTAAACTGGCTGCTTGCTAAGATGAGCATGATGTGCAAATGTCAGGTGCCAAGAAGAGGTAATAGTGTTTCCCCTTTCTGGGATAGAAGCAATATTATCCAGTAATGAACTTCAAATGGCATCAGAGGATGCAGTATATGACTTTGTTTTGAAATGGGCGAGGTTGCATTATCCTTTGTTGGAGGAGCGGCAAGAAGTCCTTGGTACTCGTCTTGCTCGATTCATTCGCTTCCCTTACATGTCCTGCCGGAAGCTTAAGAAGGTATTGACATGTACCGACTTTGATCATGAGGTTGCTTCCACACTTGTGATTGAGGCACTCTTCTTCAAGGCTGACCTTCCACACAGACAGCGAACCATGATTGCCGAAAAGTCTGCTTCCTCGAGCCATTCTTTTGTGGAGAGGATGTACAAGTATCGGCCAGTTAAGGTTGTGGAATTTGAACTTCCTCGACAGCAGTGTGTGGTGTACCTGGATTTGAAGAGGGAAGAATGTGCCAACTTGTTCCCGTCGGGTCGAGTGTATTCTCAGGCGTTCCATTTGGGAGGGCAAGGATTCTTCCTGTCAGCTCATTGCAACATGGACCAGCAGAGCTCCTTCCATTGTTTTGGATTGTTTTTGGGGATGCAGGAGAAGGGATCTGTGACTTTCACTGTGGATTATGAATTTTCTGCGAGATCAAAGCCGAGCGAGGAGTTTGTCAGTAAATATAAAGGCAACTACACATTTACGGGCGGGAAAGCAGTTGGCTACCGGAACTTATTTGCTATACCGTGGACTTCCTTCATGGCTGAAGATAGTATTCACTTCATAAATGGTGTCCTCCATCTCAGGGCAGAGCTTACCATCAGGCCATAGCCTTCCTTTTCTTCCTTTTTTGTTTTTTTTTTGTTTTTGTTTTTTTGTTTTTTCCTCTCCCCACATCGAGATTAAAGGAATTCTTTCATGCTGTCCACTACTCACTGTGTAGTCGTTTAAGCCATTTTGTCTTTGGAGGGAGGAAAAAGTTGTTTTTGAATAGGTTTCATTTAGTACTCATTCTGAAACTTTTGAAGGTATATACCCTTTTCATGATGAGTTCAGCCATTTCCATTCAATTCCAGTGATTAGGAAGATAAGTAATGTAAGTAAATGTCTTGGATTGGCTAGTTGAATTAATGTTGATAAAAGTTTAATAAAAACATTTCAAAGAATATGTGATTTTGTAGAGGTATGCTGATGGGTTGATAAAATAAGGGTTTGATTGTTTATATTTATTTATTATTATGATTTTTTTGGAATTGCATTTTGGTAATTGTTTTTGTTTCTATACTTCAAAATTTTAAATTAAAAGTTATAAGTTTTATATAATTTTTTTTTCTAATTAAATATTTTAAACTTTTATGTTATATTTATTTATTTTTTTTTGATATTTATTGTGCATTTTATAAAGTTAAAAATAATAAAATGATATTTTTATTTATGTTTTAAAAAATAATTGGAAACAACTAACAAGAAATTTTCTTGTTTTAAATGAGGTAAAAATACTATTGATGCAAGATATAGAAGGGGAATGAATTCTTTCTTTTTTGCCATTTTTTCGTCTTTTATTTTTTAATGAACTCACTTCATTGGTTAACTCTATACACTACTAATTTTTATAAGTTCTATTACAAGTCAAACGGATACTATTATGAATCCATTCCTGTTTTAGTTTTTGGAAATGGGAACAATTATCGTTCCTTAAAAGTAGAAAATGAGATACGTAAAATAATGTTAAAGTGAGTCGTCCAACTCTTTTGACCTTTTTATTTAATTGGGTCATTTCTTTTACAAAAAAGTAAAAAATAAATCTATACTATATTAAAATGGAGGATCTCGAAAAAACATATTTGGATGTTTTTGTCCCTTAATTTATTAATTTATAAATTATGCCATTAATAATTTATTATAAATATTAAATTAATTATTAATTATTAATTATCAATAATAATAAATGTATATGATCTAAACAAGGTTAGAATACAAAAGGTTTTCTACACCATAAAATTATTATTTTTTATTTAATTACAATTCATATTAGAACTTCAAAAGTTTTGCAACGTTTTATCTCCTACTGCTATAAAAACATACTTTTTTTCGCCGAAGTGAGCATAGCTTAGTGGTAATTGACACTTACTTCCAACCATGAAGTTGTGAGTTCGATGTTAAAAATTAGTGCAAATTTGTGTTTAATTATAATGTTAATGCTGGAGAGTTTTAGGAGTTAATGAATTACTGGGTAGTTAATTTCATAGGAAGTAGTGGTGGGTGGATATGTAACTTGAGGAGTAATTTTTGGCTCAGTGACTTAGTAGAATAATGGTGTTAATGGAAGAGAAGTTTAAGGTATAGTGGCATTGTTGGTTGATTGGAGAGAAATTCAAGGGTAGTGGCTTAGTGGTCGGTTCCCTTAGTTCCCTATAAATACATGTAACTAGTTCTCATTTCAATGTATCAAATCATTTCTTCGTAAACATTCTATTTTGCCTCCTTTCTATTGTTCGTCTTTGTTTTTCGTTACATGGAATCAGAGCAGCCAAGTTCTTTTTCTTGTGTTTGAGTTTACTGCTCGTTGTTTGAGTCTAGTGCTCGTTGTTTGAGTTTAGTACTCGGTGAAGATGGACATGGAAACAATATTTGTGTAGACAAGCTTACCAGTGACAACTATAGCTATTAGAGGCTATGTATGAAAGTTTTTCTACAAGGTCAAGATCTGTGGGATCTTATCTTTGGTGATGATGCTGAAATTCAAGAAGATACTCAGAGAATTCTGAGGTGCGAAGGAAGTGGAAGATCAAGTGTGGCAAAACATTATTTGATTTGTGAACTTCTATTGGCAAGGAGTATATCGAGCATGTTCGTGATGAGAAGTCTCCAAAACAAGTGTGAATACACTTGAAAGGCTGTTCACTCAAAAGAACACGACGAGATTGAAGTATTTGGAGAACGAACTTACTGGAACAACTCAAGGAAATTTGTCGGTTTCAGAGTACTTTTTGAAAATAAAAACTTTGTGTTTTGAAATTCCAGGACTGGATAAGGAGGAGCCTATTAGTGATGCTCGTTTGCGTCGTTATCTTATTCATGGACTGTGAAAGGAATTTATGTGATTTATTTCTTCGATAGGTAAATCAACCTTCTATCATTGAGTTGGAAAACTTGCTCTCAAATCAGGAAGCTTTGGTGAAACAAATGCTTGGCAACAACAAGCAAGCTGCACAAGTGGAAGATGTTATTTATGCAAAAGACAAAGGAAAAGACAATTCTTATTCCAAGCGTTCTTCAAATGACAGCAAGCATTTCAAAACTGAATGGCAGTCCAAAGGTAATATAAAAAAGATGTTTTAGGTGAGGTAAGTCGGGACACATCAAACGTGATTGTCGGGCTAAGGTGGTGTGTCATCATTGTGGGAAACCAGGTCATATTAGACCAAATTTATCGGGTGAATCTCAAAGAAGTAAATGCAAATGTTGTACAGGAGAGTAACAAACCTGAACAACCTACTTGGGATTAATGTTTGTCGATTGAAGCTGTCGACCAATCTATTAATATGCATGCAAATGCTTCTATAGATTATAATGAGGATTGAATTATTGACTCTTATTGTTCTCATCATGCTACTGGAAATGTTTCTCTTCTCTCTGAGGTATGTTCACATCATGGAAGAAGAGTCATTGCGACGGCTGATAATTCCTTACATCCTGTTGTTGAAGAAAGACATGTTAATGTTGAGAATGGTGCTCCAAATGTTGGTGGTGTTTCTCTTGAAGATGTTTAGCATGTTCTAGGTTTGAAGAAGAATCTGGTTTCGGTATCTCAGATTACCGACTCTAGGAGATATGTTTTTTTTGGTCCAGATGATGTGAAAATTGTTTATAATATTAAGCAATTTTCAACTGATATTTTGTTAACTGGAAAGAGGAAAGATTCCCTCTATGTTTTATCTACAAGTGATGCATATGTTGAAAAGAAAGGTTAGAATGATAGTGTAGTACTTTGGCATGCTCGGTTGGGTCATGTTGGTTATCAACAGTTACAGCGAATTTCAACAAAGAAGCTTTTGGACGGTATTCCTTTACTTAAAGAAATTCACATTGATGTGGTTGTACTGGTTGCCAATTTGGAAAATCACGTCGTCTCCATTTCCCAAATTCAGACAATAGAGCTACTATTGCATTGTAGTTAGTTCATTCAGACTGATGGGGCCAATTAGAACACAAAGTTATTCTGGTTGTTGTAATGTTATGGTTATTGTGGATGATTTTTCTCGATTCACTTGGGTGTATTTCTTATAGGCTAAAAGTGAGACTTTCTCCAAATTTATTCAATTTAAGGAGCAGGTGGAGAAGGAATTTATGCTGCCTATAAAGTGTTTGCACACTGATAATGGGGGAGAAAATATATCCAATTAATTCCAAAAGTATTGCAAGGAGCATGACATTCAGTGCCAGATGACGACGTGTTCTGACACTCCACAGCAGAATGGAGTTGCTGAGAGTAAATTGGCAAATCTCACATCTATGTGCTTATATTGATGCATGCAAAGAACCTTCCAGTAGAGCTTTGGGCAACAACTATTTAGTTAGCTTGTCATGTCATAAATCGCCTAACTCCATGGGCGGGGTCGGATCAATCTCCATTTGAGGTACTATATCATCGTAAACCCAATGTGAGTTATCTTCAAATTTTTGGGTCAATTTGTTATGTTCATGTTTCAAAGAGTAAGCGTACTAAACTTGACCCAAAGGTACGACGTTGTATTTTTGTTGGATATGATACTCACAGGAAATGATTAAGATGTATGGATCCGAATACAAGAGAAATCGTTGTTTCTCGAGATGTGGTGTTTGACGAGGTTTCGTCACATCAAATGGACGCAAGTAAAAAGAAAAGCGGTGTTGCTTCGCCACCTTTCTTTAGTGATGATGCGTCAAATAAGAAGGATTTGAATGATAGTGCTGGAGAAAATGTTCGAACAGATGAAGCTATGGAAAGTGTAGTTCGAAGGTCTTCTAGAGAAAGATCTCGACCTAATTATTTATCTGATTATGAGGTACAGTTAAATAGCTATTCGTTTGTATCTTGTTTTTTACTAGGTGATGTTTGTGAAGATGAACCTCAATCTTACGATGAAGCGAAATGTGTTCTTGAATGGGAAGAGGCAATGCATGATGAAATTTCGGCTTTAAACAAGAACGACACATGGGAATTTGTTCCAAGGCCAAAGAATGTAGAGTTAGCTACTTGTAAATGTGTTTACAAGTTGAAGAAAAGACCTGATGGTACTATTGACCGATATAAAGCTCGTCTGGTTGCTCGTGGCTTTTCACAACAATATGGTCTAGACTACAATGAGACATTTAGTCCCGTTGCTAAAATGGTAACCTTCAGAACTATTATTTCATTAGCTGCTTGCAAGGATTGGAAATTATGGCAATTGGATGTGAAGAATGCTTTCCTTTATGGAGAATTGGATCGAGATATTTTTATATAGCAACCTCATGGTTTTGTTTCTAAAGAATTTCCAAATTATGTGTGTTGGCTTAGGAAGGCTTTGTATGGCCTTAAGCAAGCTCCATGTGCTTGGTATGGTAAGATTGCTCAATATCTTGAGTTTTATAGGTTAAGATCTTCAAATGCAAATTCAAGTCCGTTTGTTAAGAAAACAACCTCGTTATGACAATGCTTTTACTTTATGTTGATGATATGATCATAACTGGTGATGATGATGTTGAAATTAACAGTCTTCAAGATGCTTTGTCTATTTGCTTTAAAATGAAAAGTTTGGGCGAAGTTAGGTGTTTCCTTGGTTTGGAGGTTGAAAGGAGAGGTGGATATTTCATCTCACATAAAAGTTATGCAGCAAGTTTACTAAATCGTTTTGGTATGAAGGAGTCAAAGCCAATGATTACTCCGATGGAGCCATCCTTGCAGTTGATTAAGGAAAGCTATTGGCAGATGCAACACATTTTCGATAGCTTGTTGTTAGTTTAATTTATTTGACTATCACAAGGCCTGACATCTCTTACTCTATAGATGTCGTTGCTCAGTCTATGGAGATACCATGTGAAGCTCATTTAATTGCAGCAAAGAGGATTCTTTGATATGTGGAAGAGCACTTTGAGTTTTGGCTTGTTGTATAAGCAAGCTACATCTTTTGTGTTGAGT